ATCTTCTGAAAGCCAGCGGGTTCTGGTCATATTTTTCATTTTTCCTCTTTTTACATTGCTGTAAATATTATACATCAAACAACTAAACTAAAGTCTGAATTTATTGCAGATTTCCTGAACTAAATTGCAGAGTCATAATTATATGTTCCCTTAATGCTTAAGTTTATTTTCACAAGTTTAAATTTGTTATTTGTGTTTTTTAAGTTATTAGTCAGATGATGTATATGTTTTGTTTAAATACTACAGATGCAATTCGAGTGGGATGGAAATTAGCAAGATTAGAGAAAATAGGAATAAAGCCAATATTACAGTCTCACCTTTGTGGAGTATATTACTGATGCTTCCAATGGCAAGAGAGGCCACTGAAATGTACTTGAAAAAGAAATGCCTTTTGAAAAATCATTTTGCTGCATAGTCCCTCTGGCTGCATTTCACTTATTCGACGTAAGAAAAAGTGTATTAGACTATCTATATATTAAAATGAATATTTATTAATTATCAGAGTGCAAAGAAATTCATATGTTTGTTGTAAATCACAGTATTTTTCATCTAAATTTCCATTACTGTGAAATGTAGAGAAAAAATGTCCTCATTAAAGTTATAAATAAGTTTATTTTATTTGGCAAAATGTGTTTTTCCAAACATGTCAGTAGTAGAAAAAATCCATAAGCAGGTATATATATTTTACTACACCACCTGCTGCTAATTTGGACAATTTATGGAATTCATCTTTGAGGATCCAGGCAAGCCCTTTTACTAATAAGATTAAATGGGGGGAAATCCTTTAAGAGGGTCCTTGGCATTTTTATTAATGGGGTATGTAACATACAGTGAAGCACACTCAGCATGATGCTACCACCTTGTTTGCTAGTTGAGGCAAGGTTCTCTGGGTGGTGCTTGACTCGTATTCTGCCAACACCACTTTTCATTGATAATAAAATAAAAAAAAAATAAAAAAATTCTCATCCTAAATTTTTACTTCACAAACTGAAACGGCAGCAACAACTTTCAGTGCACTTGTGTGTTTTAAGAAGGAAAATGTTGGGTGTCACAGGCTGTGAAAGAGAAGGAGGAAGATCCTCTTTAGTTTGAGGGTAGCATGTCAAGCAGTGAGAGTGCAGGGTCACCTTAATCTGGTGGTGTCTGTGCCCAGAACCCTGCTGCTGATGGAGGAGGAGGTGGGAAGGGACTCTGAACAGGCTGAACTGATTTCCTGTTCAGGGTCATGCCCAGGACAAGCTGGAGGAACATGGTTTTAGGGGCACCGGGAGGGAGGGACACAGTGTTGACACTGTTTATCTGGCATTTTCCGGGCTAAACCTGTGAGCTACACATCACAGGCAGAGACCATAAAAAGCCCTTGTTTTAATTCATCAAGGATCTACAGATCCCAGAGCAATTTGGACATTATTTTTAACTTTTAACATGTATTAAAAGTGTATTTTATTACAATTAATTAATCCAGAGTATGTAAAGACCTGTACTGATCATTGGATTTATTTGCATGTTAAACACTGTCCCAAGCATGTCACTTTGGGCAGCTAAAGTGCTGCTTCAGATGACAAAGGAAAAGAAAACTTATTTGCATAGATATGTTAAGTTTTACATACTTCTCAAAGAAAGACACAGTGAAGACCCCCTTTTAAATTAAACGTTAAACTTTGGAAAATAACTCATTTAAAACACTTTTAACATTTACAGAAAAGGTAATACTGTATTTGTCTTTGCATAGCTTTCTCTGATGCAGAAAAAAGAAACCAAATGGAGCGTGAGTCCTCTCAGAGAAAATGGACCTAATGTTTATACACTTGTCTATCATCTGAGCAGGGCGCAGCCTCGGGTGTCCAGAGAGATGATGAGATGTCCCTCAAAACTAACAGCACCACGTCTGAAGCCTTTAAGTGCAGAGTGTTTGGATGAAGGCTTTTAGATCTGAGATAACTCTTGAGAATCAAAAGCCCTTTCTTCCACTGCTCAGTCCGAGTGTGTTCACATTGGATCTATATGGTCACGAAAAAGAAAGAAACAAATCTTTTTCTATGTGCCTTGAAAAAATTATGCTTTTGTTTCTTTTATTTGCAACAACGCACTAATTAAATACTGATGATAATGTTTATTATAATGTTTCATTCATTCATTTTCAGTTTTAGATACATATGGCCTGTAGCTAAAAATCGCTTTTCAAGAGATGAGACTCCAAAACACTTTACACTATATTTAGTCATTCATGCAAACATTCACATATTGATGGTAGTGAGCTTCTCTGTAACCACTGCTACCCTGGGGCTCACTGACAGACGTGAGGCTGCCGCACACAGGCGGCACGGGGCCCTCTGACCACCATCAGTAGGTGATGTGGGTAAAGTGTCTTTCCCAAGGACAGAGCAACTGAAACGGAGAGAGCTGAAGTTGGAGTCACTCCTAATTATTTTATTAGGTTTCTGGATAAGAGTGAAATTAATTATATACCACATATATATTGCTTTGCATTCGCTCAATCTTATGTCAACATCAAAAATGATATCAGCAGATCAGCTTCAACCTTATTTATTATAGTGGGTAGTAATTTTTTAAGTTGAGCTGTAACTTTTCAAAATAGTTGGCAAATAAAACATTTGTATTACTTCATAATAGACCTTTGTTTCATTAACATGGTATATACTTATTTTGCCCTAAAGTCTGTGTGAGAGTGGGCTGGGTGAATTTTTGTGTAAATATGTATGCATTTGTTAACATAATTATTTTGTCATGAGTAGCCTATTGCACATTTCTTTAGAATATTTTCTTAAACTGTAAAGAAAAAACTTATTTCACACCTTAGGAAATGTGTACTATTGTATTTTGTAATAATAGTACTACTAATATAAATGATAATAATAACAACAATAATAACAATAAAGATGTATTATTTAATATTTTTTTCGGGAAATTATTTATCAATCAAATTTTTCATCATTCAAAGTTAGACTTTAAGTAGCCTACAATTTATTTATTTATTCAAATGTACTTAAGATTCAGTCAGCGTTTTTTTAATGTTTAATTTCTTGTCTTGTATCCTGGATTATAATAATACATTACATTTAAAACTGCCAACCTTTAACTCAAATACATCATCGAAATGTCAGACTAAAGCGCATTCCAGATTGCTGGAACACAGATAAAGTTCTCTAAAAATCATTAAAAAAAATTCTATGAAACCTTTTGTGAACGAAATGCAAACCAAATATGAAAAATTTGGATAAGTGGTACCTCTGTAACGTTTTTCTGCTTTGTGTCGCGAGATGCTGCGCAAAACAATCGGAACATTTTTGTTCTGAACCACTGCGCGTCAGACAGATGCGGCTGTTCACAATATTTCACATTTCAGTTTAACAGTAAATAAACACCGAAAAAAATAGTCTGCAAGCAAATATAAGACTCATAACAAAAAATAATTAACACAGTAAATATAAGAGCATAAAAATACAACATGGGTGAATATAAGCGGCCGTCTAGCTGCTTTTTGACAAGATCCGATGATAAACTCCAACACAATATAACATGTGGAATATATGCGCAATATTTAATCAGCAGGGTTGAAAAACAAGATTCAATAGTTGGCGCACTATACCAGTCTATACTGGAGACACCAATACACATATTTAATAATTATCGAGGCGAACATTCAATTTCAACTATTTCTATGGCTTAACCCTAAACCAAAGGGAATATACGCCTAGAATTCACACTTTAGTTCCAAACCTAACCAAAAGGTCCTCGCCTTACTTGTAAATACATAAATCACTCTGCTGCAAGGGTGTAAGTTTGTGATGAACGTTGGTGGGGACACTCGGGACCTACCCTTATATTAGGTTTTTGTATTTTCCAAAAATTAGCTCAAACATCTATTTATTGAATGCTTTCCTGTTGTTGAGAGCACAGGAGAACCATAACACACTGATACTTATATGTATAGATGTTACAGAGATTCCTTTTAGTGCACTACACATATAGGACCAAAAAACATTACTTTATATTGAAAAATAATAAATAACAGCCGATTCCAATGCCAAAATCGATAAATCATGCATCCCTAGAATTTTCCATCCATCTAGAAAAATAAGGATATGCTGCGTTTTAAATATAGTATAGAGTTCTGTTTCCTGTAAACTTTCTGGTAAACTTGGGGATATATTTTATTGCATGTTGCATATCCCAGTAAATGTTTCACCTTTAAATCTGCAGCTCTCCCTGCTTATCTCTGTTTAAAAAGATGTATGAACCTCTTTACTAATATAATGATGCCAGATACAACACATCAAGATATGTAGAAGCTCTGCAGTCTGATTCTGTCTGCACAATAAGAAAACATGTTATTACATATTATTACATATTATTACATTTTAACCTGTAACTGGGAGTCATGATGCTCTGAAAAGTCAAGTTTTTTAACTAGTAAAGGAGAACAAACTATGTTTTCTCAAGCTTCTTGCATTATAATAGTAACTTGTTTAAATAAACTTACAATCTGTTGCCATTTTTAGCTAAAAAAAAAAAAAAAAAAAGCTTCGTATGTCTAACAAACAGATTTTTCGGTGGTATGACCTCTATTTTTTTTTTTTTTTTTTAACCAACCTAACTTTTACTGTAACATCTATTGAAGTAGCAGCTGGTTAATATTCACTGAGTTCTGCTGTGCGTCTCTCCTCCAACCACGTAGCTACTCTTTCCGCAGTGAAACGCGACCGCAGATCAGATGTCTTCAAGCGACAGATCCGATGATGTTACAGCGAGAGGCAGGACGCAGGATCAGCACCAGAGAGGGAAAATAAACACGGACTCAAAACGATCTGAACACAGATAGCTGCATCCAACCTAAAGAAAATAAGCGGGAAAAAGCGGAGATTATTGGCGGGGACATGTCCACACCAGGCCAAAGTTGGTGGGGACATGTCCACACCTGTCCTTTATAAAGTTACACCTGTGTTCTGCAGCAGGTATACACACCTACTCACACTAACTTCTCTCACGCACCAACCCATCAGTCCCCGTTTCACGGGTCTTTGTTTCTGATCTGTTAAATCCCACCCACTTGACATGAACACAGAGAAAAAAAGTGAAAATCATTCACACTGCCCATGCTGACAGCGCCTAGTCGCTGTTGTCTTAACTGTCTGCTGGATCAGAACCATGGAGACGGAGAGCTGCTTGCCTTTCTCCGCGCAGAGCGCTGGAAGGACACCGACAAACTCTCCGGGCCTGGAGCAAGGTGGTGGTGGTGGCGGGGGACCCGGCTCTTTTCTCCCCTGCAATGGGCTGCAGAAACCCTCTCATATCCTTCCCCCGCCTCCTGCTGCGTCTCTAACTCACCGCCACGGCTTGTGCGGGGAACTGTATGCAGCCATGGGCAGGTTTGGTGATGTCGCGGGTGTGGATTTTACGCACGGCTCTGCGCCCGGCTCTGCGCCGAAACTTAAGTTCCTGGACGGTTTGAACCCGGATCACAAAGCGGCAATAAGCGACAAAGCGGTGTTTTATGAAAGCAGTTCGGAAGGTGAGTAAGAAACAGATGCAAGGACAAATTAAACGTGTATATAAAATGTAAGAATATGAAACGTGGCACCGGATTAGGCCTATATTAACCAATGCAAGGCTGCAAGCTTTAAGCGAGTTTTCTCGGGACGCTTTTGGACATCATGATGCTGCTTTGGAAGTTTGGAAAGTGGATAAAATTGACAAATATTGGATCAAATTAAAATTAGACCACAAAATTTCTTAAATAAATCTACGTTTCGGGATATAAATAGCTTTAAAGTAGCCGATCATTTTGATTAAAATCTGATTTATGTTTTGAATTTAAATATTTCTAATTTATGATTTCCAGAACAACCCTTTGTTTTTAGAAATCCAAATAAACCACAGTTCTGCGCTCAAGAGCATAAAATTGAGATATTGGCGCAAATGGCTATTTTACACCAAAGTTTAGGAAATATGCTTTGCTTATTGGTGAGGGTAATTCCTTCTTATTCTGCACAGCAACGGATTAAATAAAAGGAGATAAAATCTGGATTATATGATATACTGAGGTTTTATTTAGGCTCAAGCTTAAAACAACAAACAGTTTGTGCAGATTTCAGTTTTGACATGCACTGTGAAATTTACTGTTAGATTCTGTTTGGGTGGGTGGCTTCATTTTTGCGCGGCTTCCAAAAATATTTATTTAACTCTTTGATTAATAAAAAAAAAAAAGAAGAAGGTTGTTCAAATGCTCCTGTTTGGATTCGCTTCATTGGACATTTGTCTCCCGCCTCCAAGTCATTGCTTCTTTCAATAAAGAATAAACTTTGGAGCATTTGACTTTTATTATTTTTCCCCAAACAGCCCTATCTTTAAGTATAGATGTTTAACCAAAACTTTTTTTTTCATGTTAAAGCTGTTTTTTTTTAATATAACCATTTATTTGCATGTTGTGTGGTGATTTCCTATTAGTTTGCTGAGAAGGTTGTGTGTTTTATTTTTATTTAAGAACTCTCAGACACTGAAGAAATTAAAATAAATTTCTGTTTTCGTTACTATTTTCAAAATTATTAGCTAAATTGTTATTAAGAAAAAAGAACAAGTAGAAATTACAATAATTTATATTATTTGTTTTTAACTGCCGTTTTGGTTTAATTTTTTTTTTTTATGTTTTCCTTTCCTTATTTAGCCGTTGTCCAAATTAATATGACGAAAAAAGCTAATTTCTCCATTATTTTGGTGATTTGTTTTCATTTAATTAGAATAATAAGTAATATTGTTGTAAGAGTAATTGTTGCATCATTTTTTTTTTTGGATTAGAAAAATGTTAAATTATTTTAGATTTCATTGATAGACAATCAAAACAAGTTGGAATATTAATATTTGCACATTTGACACTGTATCAGATTTTATGCAAAATGTTCTCAGAATTGTACATTTGCATCAAAATTTCAAAAATATAACTGAATTAGTTTCCAGTTTTCAAAAACTCCTTATCTTAACATCCCTAAAAAGTTAGATTTTATTTACTATAGCTCCTCAGATAATCTTAAAATTGTAAAACCAAGACAAAAAAAATCAGACTAGTTCCACAGTGGAAAATGGAGAAATTCACAGTTTTGATGGATCACATTAAATCCTTTAGACAGGTACGCTTTTGGAGATATTCCCTCTCCGTTGCATATATCCTGAGATATAGATCTTCAGTTTGACCCATGCAGACCAATCGGATGTGAGTGGTTGACAGGCTAAAAGCTGCTCAATACCCTGCGGCCTTTGTTTGTTCCTGAGAACGTTTTCAGTTTGTGGCATAAGGTTGGATGTAATGGACATAAGGAAATGAATGTTGCAGCCGGGAGTATTTTCTGTCAGGCCAGAAGAACAGTAATGTAGAGAGTTAGCTTGCCCCCAGTGAGTGGATGGGGGCAGATGGATAGAGTTGAGTGCTGGATCGAGAGGTTAAAACATTATAAAAACAGACAACAACATCCAAACACTGTGGGAGGGAAGCTGCCCTTTTCTTGCTCTGACAACAGGAAGCAAAATTAAGCTTTCACATTTCTTACACATAGTTTATTGTGGAAAAATAAACACTTTATTATTTTTTTCTTCTTCAAGTCTGATATTTCTCTTTAATTTAATTCAAGCCTGTGGGGTATTAACTGGCTAAAGATGGTCTGTTTGCTCTGGTCAAATTTAATCACAAATAACTTTGTCTAGTTTGTGTCAAAGTGAGAAACATGCAAACATTGGCTTGATGTAATCTTCAATCTGTTTTAAATGATTTTTTGGTTTGATTTTAAGTTTTTAAAATCTTTTAATTAAGTTTTAAAAGTAAAAGAACATTTTATTAAGATTTATTGACTCTAGGTCTAAAGGTTTGAAATCATTAATTAATGTTTTCCAACTCAGCAATAATAAATTTAATCATGATCGTTGAAATAATCTTTACACTTGTTGGCTTTAACATTTAACAAGACATGTTGGCTTTAAAACGTTCATCAGAACAAAATGTTCAGTAAGGGCTGAATGAAACATTTAAACGCTAACATTCAGTCCCACTTTAGTTATAATCCTGAAGGAAACTCATTAAATTTAATGAAAGTCGTTTTTGGTATCCAACAGAAAATCCAGTTATACACTGAAAGTCAACTTTAATGACTCTGCCTCTCCTCTGTGTGTTCCTCAGCCAGAGAGAAAGGAGCTCTAAAAGCAATGATCTATCCTGGGATCGGTCCAGACTGCTGCAGCAAACTGAAGGAGCAGAGTGTCAGCGTGCAGGGCGACTCCATCGCTGACTCCATAGACTTATCAGGAAAAAGCAAGAAGCGGCGCAATCGCACCACCTTCAGTACTTTTCAGCTGGAGGAGCTGGAAAAGGTGTTTCAAAAGACACACTATCCTGATGTGTATGCCCGAGAGCAGCTGGCTCTGAGGACGGAGCTCACTGAAGCACGGGTTCAGGTGTGTGCATCACATTTTAAACGTTAAACGGAATCCAAATTTAAATGCATGTCTTTTCATTTTGTTTGTAAATTATTTCTGAATGAAGAAAGGAGCAGGAATATACATTTGGCCGCATTTAATATTGTACTTTTGATAGCATCGCTGTAACCAAATGGCGTTTCTAGATGTCTCAGTTGTAAATTGTCTGCACCTTGAAGCTCTATCTCTCTGGTTCTTTTTTCTGAAAAGAGATCACTTGGGACAAACTCTTTAAATAACACTTAATAACTTATATGTATTAAATAACCAGGAGACATGACAACAGATTTTGATATACCGTAAATTGTAATCTTACTGCTGCTCACCTCTGGGCTCACCTCTCAGGAAGTGGCCCCAATTAACAGTTAAAAAGGCATTTTATGCATCTCCAGTCTGCCACATCATCGCATTTTACATCATACATGTTAGCAGATGAGTAGACATCATGGCCCCAGACTTATCAAAATATTCCACTTTGTTCTTAGCTGAAGGACACTGCACTCATTCCATTGCCAAATCTTTGCCACGTACAGAATGAAGATCATAACTGTATATCCAGACAGAGGAACAGTCCTAACCAGATAAACTATTGTGGAAAACATGAGTTCTGATACGCAACAGGCAGCCAATACCAAGATGTAATAAACTCACACATAATCAATGATAATTATTCTAACAATTTAAAACAACAGCATATCCATACACCTAAACTAATCGGATAAGGAGAATGTTATCAAAGGATATGTGGGAACTATGGAGGAACTGTAGGAATGTGCTGTTCAGGTGGAAAACAGGACAACTATTATTTGTGCTCCATAAATATAATGTTTAAAAAAAAAAAAAAAAAAAAAAAACACAGTTTGAGCTGTATGCAAAGAGCAACATATGGCAGAAAACCACTTCATGAGACATGGTGGTGGCATCATCATGCTGTTGGATTTTTTTCTACAGTAAAGACAGGTAAAATTGGAAGAGATAGTTAAATGCAAAATTAAAATTAATTGTTCTGGTAAACTAATAATGTACATCACCCTCAGCAAACCATCTCCATGTCGTAATATGAGGGTGGTCGCATTATGCTATTGAAAGGAAGGAATTCGGAAGAGGATCTTAGTTGATAACAAGATGGAGATATACAGGGTAATATTGGGAAAAAAACTTCTGAAGGACGGAAAGAACTGGAGCAGAGGTTCATCATCCAGTGAACAGATACTCAATACAACCGGGCTACAACTAGGTTTTACCAAAACACCTTCATGACCCAAAGGTTAATCTAATGTAGATCTTGGACAAGACATAAAAAATTAGTGCTAACCAGTGGCGGATCTAGGGGGCGGCTACTTGGGCTGCAGCCCCGGATGTTTCCCCTAGAGCCCCGGATCTCGCTTCTGAGCTGATCTGAGTAAAATGTGCAGTATTGGATTTCACCAGATGGTGGCAGCAAAGGCAGGAAAGCAGCCCGAAGCATTCCCGTGCAGAAGAAGAAGTTCTCACCAATGGCTGCTGCTAAACAGACTGATGTTCCAGGGAAGTGAAGTTCTGACTGACTTCCAGACGTTGTTTGTCCCGGTGGTGTGTGAAATTCTGTTCCCCTCGGGAATCGCATTGAAGCCAGAGAGGCGAACATGGCGGATGGGACCATTTTCACGACGCGTCTGATCGATTTCTCGCTAAAATCAGCTATAATCATGTCACGGTTGCAACATCCAGTTTAATCAGCAGCTGTTGTTTACAAAATTGTAAAATAAATAAATAGACGAGGTGCTTTAAAGCTATTTTGTGTTATTTTAAACGCCAAGAAAATCGTCTTTTTTCCAACTTCTGTCACTTAAACCTGACAGAAATAAAAGTTAGTCACCAAACAGTTTTCCAACAGTAGTGAGTATTAATCATTTTTCATTGCTGATATCAGAGGATGGAAACTGGCTGATAGCAGGACACAAATATTCCTGAAAAGATGAGAGTGTAGACTTTCTGATTTATCCCGTTCTAATGTAAAATATTACTGGATTAAGGACATTCCTAGTATACTACATGATATTACACAAACAATTTTTGAGAATCTGGAAACAGATGCTTTTTACTTCCCAAAGATATGGGAGGAGGAGAGACTTGATGTTTCAGCTGCCTGAAATAATCTGTTCCTCCTCCATAACATGGGAAGAAATTAATTTACCTGCACATTTTTAACTGTGTTTATTCCTCTTCATCAACAACAAATCCTCTGGATTTAGTGACATTTGATAATTATTTGCCAAAGTTATGAGGGGGGAATCGTATATTTTAGCCCCCTGAGAGAATCCGTTCCCCCTTTGATTATCTTTATGAAATATATTTTCTGTTTAAATGTTTATCTAACAATTCATAAATATTCCAAAAAAAAAAAGTTCAAACCAAAACCACTGGACATTGTTTTCCAAGTTTGAAGATGTTTCTTAATTCCAAATGTCTGGAGCAATGCTATTGCAGACATTTGTAATTGAGAATTAAAATACATTAAATAAAGATTATCCAACAACTATTTTGGATTTAAAAATATAAAATAATAAATGTTTTAAACATGATATATGAAAAATAATGACAGTTTCACTGGATTTTTTTTTTTTTTTTCCCCCCATGTTATGGGGAAACGGATTCTATCAGGCGGCTAAAATATATGATTTCCCTCTGATAACTTTGGCAAATAATGATCAAATTTGACCAAATCCACAGAGTTTGCTGTTGATGAAGAGAGGGATAAACACAGTTAAAGACTTGCAGGTGAATTCATTTCTTCCCATGTAATCTAGGGGGAATTGTTATGTTTGATAGCATGTAGTATAGTAGAAATTTCTTTAATCCAATAATCTGTCATATTTTACATTAGAACGGGATTTAGAAGAAAGTCTACTCTCTCATCTTCACCCTCGGGGCTAAGCCCCTGATCTCCGAGAATCCTAGATCCTCCCCTGGTGCTAACAGATATCCTTATTGCTCTGAATGAAGCTGAATGGTTTTCCAATAACTATAAGGAAGCTTATCTGAATCTGATCTACAACACTGGCTGACACATATGCCAATAAACAGGGGCGTAGATAAAGCAACAGCTGGCCTAACAAAGTGTTTACTAGGGGCCCAAAATAAAAATTGCTACATGCAGTGCTGGTCTATTTCATAAAATATCTAATAAAATAAATTTAAGTTGATGCTTCTAACCTGACAGCATGTTCAATAAGTGTAAATGTTTTTTTCAAGACATTTTTGTTTCTTTTTTTGTTTTGTTTTTTTCACAGGTGTGGTTCCAGAACCGTAGAGCCAAATGGAGGAAACGGGAACGCTATGGGAAGATCCAGGAAGTCCGAAACCACTTTGCAGCTTCTTATGATATTTCTCTTCTTCCTCGTCACGAAGCATACCAGGTGGGTTATTGCAAGTCTGACAAGCTGTTCAAATATGAATATTAATCCCCATCAAGTTTCCTGACCTAAATCTGTTCTCACCTAGATGCAGGGCAACCTGTGGCCGGCAGCTGCTTCAGGTGGAGGCACGTCAGGTGCAGCCTGTGTCCTAGGAGCTGAATCCATCTCATCATCTTGCATGGGTCCATATTCTCACCCCCACAGCAATCTGCAGGGCTTCATGAGCATGCCCACCTCCCCAAGCCACCCACACCACCACCACACACCGCATCATCACAGCATCAACAGCCTTTACTCCCTCCACAGCTTCCCCGGAAGCCTTGCGCCACCTTCTATTGAGGGGCCAGAAGGTGACTACAAACCAACTGGTTTGGTGGCGCTGCGTATGAAAGCCAAAGAGCCGGGCAGCATTATCTCCTGGCCCACATGACCACCAATGATCCCCCTAAAATATAACCAAAACATACAAACATAGCCAAAACATACATAGTACCAGAAATACACACCATCTGCATTTGACTTATATGCAGTTGCTTTTAATGTTGGGCAGCTTTCCCAGACTACCTGTGGAAAAGTGATGGAAGTTTATAAAAAAAAAACTGATGACTGTTTTGTTACCGACTTAAGCTTTTTTATTACTAAAACCAAAGAGTAGCACATTATTTAAACATGTGGAAACTGTAATGATGATATTAATCAATGCTGATCAGTAATAAAGTTTCCATTTATATATACGCTGTCGGCCAGGATACCAGTTTTGGCTTCAGACGGGGGGAAAAAGGAATCGGCTGGATCAAGTTCTGCTTCAAGATTGCTCTGGGTGGGAAAAGAACAGCGTTGCTTTTGTTTAAATAAAATGTGTTTGTGAGGCAGAAAAGCCTTACATGTGTTTATCAAAAACACAGGGATTTCTACTGCGCAGGAAACCTGCAAAGAGATTAAACCAATGCATATGGTGTCTTAGTCTATTAGACCATAACAAAAGCAAAAGACCATCGATATTCTAACAAGTCCTTGCCTATGGTTGCTCAGGGACTGAAGCAGCTATTTGTCATTTGTTTTTCACATAATGGATTACTGTAGCAATCTAACCTAGAGTTTGATGGAGAAAGTTTACTTTGGTACATACTTTTCCTGCCACCAGACCATTCACTTCTTTGCTTTCTGGGCTTTTAGAGGAAAAAAATAGTCCATCTCATGTGACATTTGTTGCCTTACAATATCTCCTTTTTGGAGTTTACCCCAAACTTTTCACTTTATTCTCAAGTAAACAATGGTTTGTATTGTACCATCCCATGTGGAGCAAATTACTAAATACCAGCATATTTGTGTCAGATTGGCAAACATGTCAGTCTGTTTGAGGACTGAGAGCACAAACTATGCTGGGGATGAAAAAAAAAAAGAGTTTCACTGTTGGACTAAAGTCTTCCCAGGAATGGACATGGTTTTAGGAGGAATACTGGCTTTATTCTTTGCCCGCCTCACTGTGACAGGAACGCTCAGGGCAGATTATCCGATATTCCATCACTCTTAGCAAGGCCTTGCTGGAGCTATAAAACATGTGGTTCTAATAGAAAAATGCACAAAGACATCAGAAGCAGTTTGCACACCAACAGTTTCAAATTACAGCCAGGCCCTGGAAGACGGTTGCTAACTTACAGTTATTTAGGGCTCTGTGACTATGTCCCAGATTAAGCGGAGAAGATAACATGAGATATCAGGAAGGAGAAGGGACCACAGAGGGGAAAATATTTTAGAAGGATGAAGAAATAGGGAATAGTGTTTTTTTTTTTTTTTTTGCTGTTTTGTTATTCTTTTTTTTATACAAAAAGACAACAAAAAATAAGATTTCTGAATAAAGTATGAAAAGAAAAAAACTGCTTAAGCTCTTTTAAAGAAGTGGTGTCTCAATAGCCTTACGATGTAAGATAGCTAATATTTAATGAGTAAAGACTGCAAGTATAGAGGTTAAGTATGACCTTTACTCTTTTAGCTGAATTTCTTCAGATGCCTTGCAAATGTGCTCATACTTCTTTACCTTGTTTTACTTTTTGTTGAACTAAAACAACACATTCATAGACAAAGTAACACCTATTTGGTATATAATAATACGAAGGAAAAACATATTTGGCTATAAAGCGTTTTTACAATTAAAAATTCTTAAAGTAAGATAAACATTTTAGCCCTCTGAGTTGACACAATATAGAACTACATTATATTTCACAGCAATGACAGCTGTAAGTCTTTCATGGTATGTCTAAACTTTTAGAAAGCCATACACATTTTAAACCTTCACTTCATTTTAACTCTGGTTATATCTTAAAGATTACTGAAAGCTGAACTTTCATTACACCCTATTCTCCTTTATTAAATGTAAAACGTTTGCATTATTTCTTTTAATAGTGCACTTTATTTATCTCCATCCATCATGCTGTTACCTCGTTCCATCTTCCATGTTCCTGTTGAAGAAAATCCTCACTTCGGCATGATGATGCCATCACCATGGTCTCCCCATGGAATGTGTATTTAGTTATAAATATTCAATATTAGCTTTTGCTACAGATACTGCTCTCTTTTTTATGTGGGTCCCTGCTAACTAAAAAAAAAAAAAAACACTTCATAAGATTTATTTTTCCAGTAATTGCTTTCTTCTGGCCTCTCTTCCATAATTGTAAAATTTGCCCAAGGAGCTGGTATCTCGACAGATTTCCACACCTGAACCTTTGAGTCCTGCAGCTCTTAAGAGCACAAAGAAATTGCATTACTGAGTGCAGGTAGGTGGGCAGGGTAGCTATTTGATAAATACATGACCTCTGAAAACATTTGGTATTATATGGGAATGTATTATAAATGTATTATTTAGTTATACATATACATGTATTATTTTCTGATTAAAGTAGAAAGGGATTAATAAAATACCCCATTTAAAGATTTCCCCATGAAATTTAAGGTATCAAAAGTTAAGCTTGTAATTTGACCTACATTTTATTTTTTCAATTTGATCAGAAATTCATAATCTGTGGATTCCTGCACTGTTGGAAATAGTGTGACATGTCTAAAAGGTCAGGTTCGCTGGACAAAAAAAAAAAAAAAAAAAGAGAAAAAAAAAGAAAAACGACACCTTTTTTCTCCAGTACAGAGGGTCTGTGTTATGCTTTAAGAAGTCAGGAAAATGACTGCATGAAAATAGAAGTTCATCTAAACTTGTCAATTGATACTAATAAAGAATTCAGAACAACATGTCTGTATAAATACACAAGGTTACAAAAAGTAAAGATAAACACAACAAAGCTTTAAGTTAAGAGAACTGTGGCAAAAGTGAGGCAACTTCTAGTCCCCACTTTCTTATAAAAACAGTTAGCTACTGTGTGGCCCAACAAATAATATAGTTATATTCTTTTTCTTTTGAATGGATAATTGTTTCCAAATTTGAATATATATATATATATATATATATATATATATATATATATATATATATATATATATATATATATATATATATATATATATATATATCTATATATATATATATATATTTAGCCCTACATTGAAAAAAAACGGTGTCTGTATTATGTATAATGACCAGTCTTAAAGATAATATTGAAATGCTGCCACCATGTGGAATCAGTTCACCATGTTAAGCATTCAACAAAACCTCTATGAAAAGTCTCTCCTATTTATTCAAAGTAATATTTGTTTCATTATTTGTATCATCTGCAGTAATTAACTGCTTAATTGTTGCACAAAAGCACACCATGCTTTCTTGAGGTTCTATTTAGTATTTCTTTGTCTTATTGTAATCTAGTTCAATTTTTTGGGGGGATATACTTTAAACCAACATCTCTTACAGCTATAGTGACCCAACTAGGAAGCTGAACTGATTCAGATTATTATTTGTTGGAAAATTAAATTGGCTTTATATTATTCATTACAGAAATAATAGTTGGGATAAATGGCTCATTCTAATCATTTTATGTAGACTTTCTCAATATAAAATGATCTACACTGTATTTCTCGGTTCAAATATTAAGGAAAAGGCTTAATTTCCCTTCTTAAGCATAAAAAACTGAATTCCAATAATTTGGTGTTTGGTGACATCTTATTCGGAGTTTAACCTGTTTTAAGTCATAGAAAAAAAACATAGATATAGAAAATATAGTTACGGTATTTCCATTTGAAAGGCTAATTTTAAATGACAGTAAAATTGAATTTTAGATCATAGATCAAGTGGGAACATATGTATTCACAGAAAACAAAATCTCACATCATATAAATAAAGTATTTTGTTTGTCACAATCAATCATTAGGGTGTGCATAAACTCTGAAAACATAACAATGAAACTTAGAAGTTTTTTTTATGTTATGAAGACAACTTGTTCTTGTGCTTCAAGCTGCAAAACAGGCTGCCAACTCAGGCCGGGCCAGTAAATAAAACACTAGCACTTCATATCATACCCTAATAAAACCAGCCATTTAAATACTGTTTCTTTTTCTTCTGTTGAATAAAAATTAGCAAATGCAAGTAAAGAAAGACTATGGATAACATGCAGATGATTCCACACAAAATACATCTTAATGAGTTAGTGGTATTTGCAGAGTTTTATTAGTTCCATTTACTCAAGTAACTTTTTGGAAGAAAATGTACTTCTAGGAGTAGTTTTTACAGTCGACGAATTGTAGTGAAATCATGTATTCAAATTGTCTTTGCTACCTTTAGTCAATGTTTTTCTCCACAATTCTTTTCAAAAGGAATAAAAATATTCTTTGTTTAAAGGATGAATATTATTACTACGTTTAAAACCAAAAATTATACCCACAATAAGCCTTCCAGAGCATGTTTTTCCCGTTTGTGAAGGAAAACTTCTCTCAGAATAGACGGACAGCATGTACCAAAAATGTCCATATTCAGCCTTCCTCTGGATTAGCTGTTTAGGCTTTCTTCGCCCGACCTCCGGAAGGCTGCTTCCACACAAGCCGCAATCATGACAACTAGTCAGAGCCTGTAAACTTAGCCTAGAAGAGTGGAATAATAGATTAGATGAAGGCCATAGCTTAACCGATGGGCTGCTACACCATTCCCTTTATGATGTCATAAGGGGAATGTCATTTTGAGCATATTAGCTAGTTAGAGAAAGGCAATTATAGTGGTGAAAGGCTTTTTTTTTAATATGTGAACCTTATACACAGGCTTCAGAACACATGTGACTGTTACAAAATATTTATAATGTGAATTTTTGCCTAATATGGAACCTTTAATTTTTGCAAAGCATAGTTAACAAAAGTTAATAGATAAACCGATACATCAACAAATCTAGAAAAAAGACAACCCTTCTCTAATAAGGGTTATGTACACAAATTGACCTGATCACAAAGATTGGGGATTTTATACACAAAGGCTAGTCTAAAGCAATCAAGGAGGGGGTGGGAGTGGTGTGAAAAAATACAATCAATGTGTGCATCAGTTTTAGCAAACAACTGTTTATTAACTATAATCAAACAGACTGTTATGAAAGAATGCAATGAAATAAATACTAACATTGTGAAATGGCTGGAGGTACTTCCATAAGTGCACAGTTCATGTGAGATCCCTTGTTTATACACAAGAGTCACAGTCTGCTGTCAATCTGCTGAGGCTCCTTTCCCCTTTGGAAGTCAGTAAGCATACAGTAAATAACTGAGACTGTCACTACTAGCAGTGTTTGCTTTAACATTTGCACAGTTTTTAGAGTTAAAAATTGTGGGAAAAAAGATACGTTCCAAATAACTAATTAATCAACAGTGCACCATACAAGGCAGGTTTATTTTCAGTAAAAAAAAAACACAAAAAGCTTTTCACAAAAAAAGTATAAGAAAAAAAAAACATATTCTATAGCAGTAAGGGCTCAGTAAAGCCAGAAAGGGAAAGTATTAAGATTTTGGAAATGATTTACCATAGTGGCACAGTCAGTCCATCGCATATAGCATTCGTTACACTTGTCTATTAAATTTGAGTAATTCAGGTATTTCAGACACATAAAAACGGTAGTATTAAAATGTTATTGTATTTAAGTTTTATTATTTTTTAATGGAGAATTGAAGTAATTTCTATAGTTGCTTTATAAAGTAAATAGCAACAATAAAGGTAATATACTAAGTAATAATCTCTGCATCTTAGGTCTGGTAGGTTCAGTCGAATTACATTAATCTCTAACTTTTACTTACTCATAAACTTTTTAAAGATAAGCAACTCTATATAAATGATATGAAACTGAAAGACGTTCACAGCAAATATGAAATAAACGCCACATTATCGTGATGTAATACTTTAAGTCAAAGAATGTAAATAATAAGAGTTGAGTTTGTTCCAATATCCTCCTTTAATTGTTTTCCAAATGCAGCAAATGCAGGCAAAGCTGTATTAGGGCTGGGTAAGTGATTGACAGGTGCTTTAAAGGTTTCTGCCCACTTTTCAGCCAATCAAAACGGATGGGCGGGACTTGTCGCTAATCTTAACAAAATGGCGAAGGTTGTTGTTTTGCCGCAGGGTCGCTGATTTAATCCGTTTATCGTTTCAACCAATTTCTGCACCCGTAGTGGAGAAGCAAAGTGAAGATAAGGTCAGGCACCAGAAGGACAGATTCCAGCCGGGCCGAAATGAAAGGAAAAGAGCGGACACCGATTAAAAAACGGTCCCGGGCCCTGGAAGATATCCGAGACAGGGGAGGCTGTCATCCGACCAGTAAGAAAATGGGGGCTCTCTCCGTTTCCAGCGGGAGTAATAATGGAAATAGCTCCACAAAAGGCGACGGCGGCACAACGAGAAGAAGTTTGCTCGTCGAGAAAAGAGACAGAGAGTTTGATAGCCACGGCCGGACAGGAAATAACCACAGCTGTCCGCCTGCTGTGGCTAAAAACCACAGTCTGAGTCTGACGCTGGATTTAGCTTCACCGAGGGGCGTCTCTTCCCGGGCGGAGCAGCGGGTCCAGCCGCCCAGCACCGAGAGTGAGTACAAAACACTGAAAATCAGCGACCTGGGCTCCCAGCTGAGCGACGAGGAAATAGAGGACGGACTGTTTCATGAATTCAAAAAATTCGGCGATGTGAGCGTCAAGATGAGCCGCTGCAGCGATGGACGCATCGCGTTTGTGAATTTTAGAAAGCCGGAAGACGCCAGGGCCGCTAAACACGCCAGAGGCCGACTGGTGCTGTACGACCGGCCACTGAAGATCGAGGCGGTCTATGTGAACAGGAGACGGAGCCGATCTCCAGTGGAGAGGGAGTTATACGTGGCGGCTCCGAGCCACAGGCATCTACCGAGGCCCCTGTCGCCAACCGGCCTCGGGTACAGAGACTACCGGCTGCAGCAGCTGGCTCTGGGACAGCTGCCCCCTCCCCCGCCGCCCCCCTTACCCAGAGAACTGGAGCGGGACCGGGAGTTTGCTCTGTTTGAGGCCAGGGCGCGTCCTGCTTTCATTGCTGAACGGGCAGGTTTCAGAGAAGAGGATTTTATCTCTCCTGAAGATGATCAAAGAGCCAACAGGACGTTGTTTCTGGGCAACTTGGACATAAGTGTCACAGAGGCGGACCTGAGGAGGGCTTTTGACAGGTTTGGGGTTATCACAGAAGTGGACATAAAGAGACCCATCAGAGGACAAACCAGCACCTATGGATTTTTGAAATTTGAAAACCTTGACATGGCTCATCGGGCCAAACTTAGTATGTCTGGCAAAACAGTGGGTCGCAATCCAATAAAAATAGGCTATGGCAAACCCATGCCCACCACACGTTTGTGGGTGGGGGGACTCGGACCCTGGGTGCCTCTAACTGCCCTGGCCAGAGAGTTTGATCGTTTTGGAACAATAAGGACTATCGACTACAGGAAAGGGCACAATTGGGCTTACATTCAGTATGAAAGTTTAGATGCTGCACAGGCAGCCTGGACACACATGAGGGGTTTCCCCCTGGGAGGACCAGAGCGCCGGCTCAGGGTGGACTTTGCAGACTCTGAGCATCGCTACCCACAGCAGTTCCTGCAGCCTCTCCCTATACCGCCTTTTGACATGGTGGCTGATTCATTTGTTCACTGTGCCACACCCGAACCTCTTCGGGTCAGAGACCGGACTCCCCCTCCACTTCATTTCAGGGAGAGAGAGCTATTCCCTGGGAGCGACTGGCCCAACCCAGCCATCCGTGAACGGATTAGAGCCTCACCCTTTGAGCCTCTTGAACATTTGGAACGGGACAGGAGAGTGAGAGAGCCGTGGTCTCTGGAACGAGAGCTGCAGGGACGAGAACCTCTACGCAAACGGCGTGCTGTGGAGGAGGGCCGCCACCTGGACCTCTCTCCCGACAGCACTGACAGAACAGTTAGAAGGAGACGATCATCCCCAGAGGGGAGTCCTGGAGGCAGCAGCAGAGATGGGGGGCGTTTCAGTGACTCAGAGCGCCCCATGCGAGGTGAGAGGGCCTCTCCGGTGAGGGAACGCAACAGCAGCCTGGAGAAAGGCGGGACAGAACGCAGGCTAAAAATCCAGAGTCTTACTGATAAAGGACCTGGGGTAGCTGTTGGAGAACGCAAGCGAAAAGCAGTTGATGGCGGTAAAGGCCCCGCCAAGAGAGAACGTTCTGAAAGCAGCTCCAAGGGAGGTCCGCTGTCCAAGTCAGATGGTACTAAACTCAGTCTAGCCTGGCAAGGCATGCTCCTCCTGAAGAACAGCAACTTCCCAGCTAACATGCACCTGCTGGAGGGTGACCACAGCGTAGCCAGCGACCTTCTGATCGACAGCTCAACAGGAAGGCAGGTCGACGAGCTGAAAATCACCCAGCGTCTCCGCCTGGACCAGCCCAAGCTCGACGAAGTATCCCGGCGCATCAAGGTGGCCGGTCCTGGTGGCTACGCAATCCTTCTGGCCGTTCCCGGGACCACCGAGGATACATCAAGCGACTCTGCAGCTTCGACCCAACGGCCGCTCCGCAACCTGGTGTCCTACCTCAACCAAAAACAAGCAGCTGGAGTCATCAGCCTGCCTGTGGGGGGCAGCCGGGATAAAGACAACGCAGGGGTCCTTCATGCTTTCCCTCCCTGTGATTTCTCTCAGCAGTTCTTGGATTCATCTGCCAAAGTTCTGGCAAAAAGCAAAGAGGACTATCTGGTCATGATTGTGGTTCGTGGCGCATCATAAGAAGTGACCATACACTAAAATGAAGTGGAGTTTAGGAAAAAAAACAAAAAAAAAAAACAACCCTTGCTGTATGTCAGCAGTTATTGCATGCTGTGTGTTCTGCATCCTGGGGTTCAGTAGTGTGCTTCTCCAGTGTCTGAATGTTGCCATATAATCCACTAAAAAGGACAAACCTTGCCCTTCTATGAAACTAAAAGGTCATTTAAGTACATTTCAATGGGTGTTTGATCCTAAGCTCAATCAAAAACCTGCTGTATTATCAGACTTCTGGAAAATGTTAAAAATAAGGGGATATTATAAAATATAAATTCGTACAAATCCCATTTACATTTATGAGCCTTAAGGTCATATTTAGATTTTTTTTTTTTTTTTGGTCCATCAAAAGGTCAAAATGGTTACTTTATCTAACATAAATGTTAGACGTTAAATGGTTTTATAGTATACCCCCACCATGACAATTAAACTACCAATTAAAAAGAGAATAATATCACGTATATATAAACATCCAAATGGTCATCTTTGTTTTTAGGCTGCTCTATTTGATGCCATCAGCCTGTAATGGCTGTGTTATTACAGCAACTGTCCCCTGGTTACGTGAACAGGGCATGACTTACAGTAATGCGTTACGTTATGTGTTGAAATTTAAAATTGTTAACTTTTCAAGTATAGAAATGAAGCGGAGCGGAATACTTTTTCAACTCGGGATGCAAAGAGGAGGGAAAGTATTTTCAGAGCAAGTTTAGAAAAGTTGCACACTTCTCTTCCAGTTGAGCACTTTAAATATACTAACTTAGATATTTATATTTGTTCTACTAAAGTGGCCCCATACGTCTAAAAGGGTTTTGAATTGCTGGAGAAGAGTGCTGTGATTTTTAATGACAAAATGTTTTGCCAGGGTCAAAGTTGGAAATATGATGTAAAGGTCAACGGTTAAAACATTTCTTGATACAGGTCATACATTTCAGTTTATAAAGTGTTTGGTCCATACATTTTCAAAGGGTTGTTCTTGAACTTTAGTATATTTGGAAATAGAAATCCTGTGACTTCATTGCAATGAGTTTGTAGAAAGGTCAAGAAATTGTCCCCAAATCTGTGAAAGGCTAACAGGTCAGATGGACCCTCGCTTTAACTGATTTAAAATTTGAATTAATTGTAAGAGTTAATGATATGCAAATGATTATGATACCCTGGAAACCATTTAAAAAGTTTATTCTCAGCCAAACATTGTCCCTGCTGCTGTGCTGAGGCTGAGCTGGAGGATAATGTTGGCTCGATCAGCCTGCCCACTGATTATCTTTTTCCATCTCTGGTCCAAAAACCAGTTCCATATTGAAGGTCGATAGATGACCTAATGGGTCTCCTGACATATACAGTTAAGCTCCAAATTATTTTTATTCAAATCAGATGTTTGATAGAACATGACACTGGCAACTCTCAAAAGAGGGGAAAAAAAATTATTTGACCATTTTTCTTTGCTAATGAACTCCAAGTCTTTAAGGTTGAAGGGCCTCTTTGCCATTACCCTAATCTGTAGCTCCGCCCCCAGATTCTCTATCAGGACCCTGGCTTGGCATTTCCAAAGTGATTATTCCTCCACTCATATGAAACGTTTTGGAGAAAAAAAAATTAACTTCACTTTAACCATCATTTGTCCTGTAATAATTTTGAGCTTATCTGTAATCTGTTTCTGTAACATTATACCACTTTTAAGTCATTTTAAATTTGAAAAATAAATCTAAAATGTTTAGCCTTTCACAGCACTGGGTCTTTTAAGTTGTGATGTTTTAGAATACAGGTAGAGGAGCAATTACTGATAATAAAGTCACTTAACATCGCTTGAAAAAAATTTGAACTTAAAGCTTCTTTAACATTACTACCAATTGTCTGTATTATCCATACATTTAAGTGTCTCTGATAGATCAAACTAAATTCTTATGATAATCATAAACATGCAATTTTTTTTTGTTTGCAATAGACACCAGCCCACATGGCTGTACTAATTGAAAATACAGATATTTTCTTTATTTAAAGCGTTATCCTTTTGTTTATGCTACTTTTTATAGAGTGGATCTGACTTTGCAGTTGTGTTTAAACTGAAGTACTTGTAGACAAAAAAAAAAAGACTGAAAGGTTGGACAGTGCGATGTTGATGGCCTGTTTTATTTGAATCTCTGAACTAAAATCTTCATAGAAAACCAAACCCAGTAAACTAGTGGTAAAAAAGCAATTAATTAGCTTTATAGCAGTGGTTTACCACTTCACATGGAGTTTAATGTTAGAAGTAAAAATTTACAGTAACTCATGCCTGCCAATATTGTTTTCTTAGGTGTTTTTACCACTTTATTGTTTGACATATTGTATTTGATTATCCAGTTAGGGACTTGCTCTGAATCAATTGTTAATTTTTATGTTCATATGTGATGAAAACATACTGCTTGTTCACGTGGACAAAACCCCCACTACCAACCCCAAAACCTGGGACTCTGGAAGACGCAGAGCTGCGGATCTGCAGGAGAAAAAAAAAAAGGCAGCGTGGTATGTGTGAGTCCTTGCTGATGAGGAAGCTTTTTAAATTGTGTAGTCCATCCTGCACCTGTGATGACTTCTGTTTTAAGTGGAAAAATAGAGCAATGTACGCTTTGATGTCATGGGGAAAGGAAAATCCGTAGTGCCCATGCGAAGCTGTTCACGTAACTACAAGTGCGTTTGGGCACTTAATGTGACCGATTATCAATAAATTGTTCATGTGAAGGGAAAATGTTTCTTCGATGGAAGTGAATTGACGAAACAAGCATCAATGCCTTATTGTGTTTCCAAGGAGTTTGTCACTTGAAATGTTGTTCCTGCTCATGAGAGGGGGAGACAATTTGCAAGTTGTTTAGCTCCAGAGAGGAGAGACCCATGTTTCCTAAGAGGATTCCTATTTGTTTAAAGGCCAGTTTTGGGAGCAGAAGTTGCCCCATTTGTAACTTACCCCTCACAACTGTTCCTACTGACATGCAAACACCTGAACAGGATGGAGGAGCCGCCGTCTGCTCTTGTTTGAATCCGGCTTGCAGATGCAGTTTGGGAGGCGTGGCTTTGGAGCGAATGGCATCACATTGATGGTCTCTTGTTTGCAGCACTTTCCCATGCATTGGTTCTGGTCCTGAACAGGAGGGAGAATTTCATCGCTCTCTCACACACTCAATTGTTGAGATTGTGACAACTCTGAAATTTGCAAAGCAACTACAAATCGCTCCGTCTCCATGCAGAGATTTGGGCTGATTTGTCTTTAACACACTTTGCCTGGTTTTACTCAGATTTTACCCATCAGGAAAGACAATTGGCTCAGATGTCAGCTAAGAATGCTATTGCTGGCCTCTCCTCTCTGAGGTGCCATGTGAACCAGTTCCCTTCATCACCTGGAGATGAAGCCTCGGCTGGAAGGATCCCACACAGCGGATATTCCTCACTGATGTTCCTCCAGGACCACTGTTTCTTCCCCCCCAAATCTGTGTAAATGTTAAAGCCTCTTTACACACTCAGCTGCCATCTATTTTAGATGAGTTAGAGTAAAAACATGTTCAGTAATCTGTGCCGAGGACCTTGAGAAACATTGGCATCATGAGGATCAAGGAGCACCTGCTTTTCCTCTCCTCCCGTCCATCAGCTGACAGCCAGGACAGAGCAGGTATATCTGTGGTAGCTGTACAGAAACAGCACCAGGGTGAGTGAGAAACAGGGCTGCCTGCCATGGCTGTATCGGTGGCTTAGGCAGCAGGGGTGAGTATAAAGTATAGCACCACATTTTCAAGACAGATCATACATTCTTATTTCTATCAGTGAACAATGTCTTCCCTTTACAGACCAGCTGCTTAATATTCAATATAATAAATTAAACTTTCATAACATGGAACAGAACCTTAAAAGGAGTATAAAACTGAGTCCAAGTTAAAAAAGGGTCAATGTCTTTAAGGTCATTAAATCACTATAAAATATATATATATATATATATACTTAAATTGCCCCTCTTACATTTAATAATCAGAATTTTTTTTGTGTGCATAATTGTTATGGTCCCTTGCTTTTTCCATATTTTTTGCCACTTTTTAAGGAACTTAATAAATGACCTGAATTAAATGAGCTTTAACATTGTGCCTACCAAATACTGCACATTTAGTTCATTCTGTTGATGCAGTCTATAGCCACAAGTCTATTTATAAAAAAGGGACACAATAATAAACATCAATATTAGGTTAAGATTAATATGCGCGAATTGGCAAAACAGCGAATTTCCTCCCCTTTCCATTAGCATGTAAGATATAAAATATAAAGTTAATCCCTGTATGATTTTATCTAAGTCACAAAACTCAGTCTCTCCTGGGTTTTTGCTTCAGGCCCCATAGAAAAAAAGTTTCAATGTTCAATACAAATATTATTTTGTTTATTACATATATTCCTTTAAATTAGGATGAAAGGGTTAGGGTGTGTTTATCTTTTTAGGATGCTATTTCTAATGTAGCTTTTTAAGAGTTTTTTGGTCATCAAACCACAGTTGAGAAGGTAAAAAAAGTAAAAAAGAAAAATAAATCCCTCTCCATATTACAGAGGGATTTTCTTTGTTTTGCTTAAATATAGTGTTTAATATTTAGTGTCAGTTAACATCTTATACCAGCTCATATTATTGTTTTAAGATTTAAATTTAAGGTAGTCCTTTTACCTTTAAGCTGCTGCACTACAATGGGATTAAAGATATTTAGTAAAATCAGATACGTCACCATAAAGTGTGATAAAATGAAAATAATCCAAGAGATCTTCAACCTCAACCAGTGAACTGCTGCATATAGGCAGCGATGTTCCCACTTTCAGGACGCCACAATTATAAAGCTTATATAAAATAAATTCATAAATTAAATGTCTATTATCTGAATTTAAATACAGTCCTTAAATATTGAAAAAAGATTATAGGGAAAGAAATTTTATCATATGCTAACATTAATTTAATTAAAGAAATATGTGTAACTTACTATGGAGTTGTACCATTTTGGGTTATCATTTTCAATTGACCTAGCAAATTTGATCAACTGTTATTATCAGCATTTATTCTGGGATTAGAAAAGGGTTCCTGTAGTTTTTTATGAACTTAAATTGAATAATCTAAATTATGAAGTTATGCCCTTATTTTTTCTTTTCTTTTTCAGGTTAATGTCCAGTAAAACTAAAGCAATAAAAAATCAAAATGTAATTCTTTACATTTAGAATTTTGGACCTTTTTTAGTGTCCCCTCCGCAGAGTCTAAAAAGATTGTATTAGGTTTTTAATGAAGTGTGAGTAAGTAGCCTGTAGCCATCCATTTTCTGACACTCTTTATCCCAAGCGGGTCACAAGGGGTGCTGGTGCCTATCTCCAGCTGCTTTCGGGTGAGAGGTGGGGTACATCCTGGACAGGTCGCCCGTCCATCGCAGGGCAACACAGAGACAAACAGGACAAACAACCATTCATGCACACACTCACACCTAAGGAGAATTTAGAGAAGCCAATTAACCTAACTGACATGTTTTTGGACTGTGGGTGAAAGCCGAAGTAACCACACATACTCAGGGAAAACATGCAAACTCCATGCAGAAATACCCCGGGCTGGGAATCAAACCCGCAACCTGGCACCAGTGCTACCCACTGAGCAGACCCACGGCTAGCCTGTGCCAATTAACATATTTGCCTCCAGCAGCTGTTGAACAGTGTTAAATTAGGGAGGGAAAGCGCTGTACAACACATTACTTTACATAGCCTGCGGAAAAAAAACAATCTCTTCTACACTTTCCCTGTTCTTTTAAGTTCTCTTAACATTTTAATCCCTGAATCAGACAGTATCTTTGGACATTAACATTGAAACCATGTTATCTACTACTCATAAAGCATATTTGATTATATTAGCTCTAAAAACATTCATAGTTGAGCAGTCTGATTTAATATTTTCACACTGTTTAAACACAGGCACAGGTAGACTTATCTGATAAACAGACTGTGGGTTATGATTGATTTAACACTGCTTAATCACAGTATTTTTTTGATATCTGTGCAGATACCCACCAGACTCCATTTCTGTTTCCAAGACACCGGTCAACCCTTGGAGTGTCATTCGCTGTAACCTTCATACAGGTAATGAAATGCTAATTTAGTTGTCTAAATCAGTTCCAATCATAAGATTAAGCTTATAGATCATTCCTCACAGGGTAATACATCTTAAGAGATATCTTATGTAAAATGTCATTATTATTACTTTTTACAGCTAATGGAAACCAAAAGGAGTAAATGCATAATAGTCCATAAAAGGATATTTAGATATGTAATTGTAATGTAATTGCCTCAATTATTCCTGTTGTGTGGAACGGTTTACAAGGCATATGTTGTGTTTTGTAGGCCAACATTTTTACAATAAAAGAAAAAAATAATCATATATATATACTACTGTTTTCTCACCCCTCGTGGGGTGGTATGTGTCATCCTCAAGCTCGGGTCCTCTACCAGAGGCCTGGGAGTTTGAGGGTTCTGCGCAGCATCTTAGCTATTCCTAGGACTGCCCTGTGTATATATATATATATATATATATATATATATATATATATATATAAGAATTTTTATATTTAAATCATATCTCCGAAGCATACTCACCTAATTGACTTTTATACATGCTGGAAATATACTGTGCATCTCTGTGTAATTAATGTATTACTTTCACTTCAAAAATGAGTGAAATTCACCTTAAAAATGAAGATGAAACATGGATGATTCTTTAAGTGTATTTCCTTAAACAAATACTGTATAAAACGTTTAGATTAAGCATATTGAAATAAATGATCTTTATTTTGTTTTTGCCAATAAAGTATTTGATACTTAATTTGCTTTATGACTTGTGATTATTTTTCTCCTCTCGTGTCTTGTGTTTTCTAAATCACACAATAACAGTTTGGGTCACAAATTATTTTATTATGTATGAGATGAGCACTGTTACAAGTAAAAAAAAAAATCTTAAATCTTGAAACAGAATACCTATGATTGGTTGTGCCTATTTGCTAGAGAAATCCAAAACCCAGGGTATGATAGAAACAGATTATTCCAGTGATGCATTCACTTAAAAAAAAAAAAAAAAAAAAAAAAAAAACATAAAATGTTTAAAGAAAGCCCTTGGATGAGGTTTAGGCATTGCCTTCTCAAGACCAGATGTCTAAAACAGTACCATATACAAACTATTAAAGCATCAAATGTTTTTTTCTTTTTTTTTTTCTTCTGTGGTACAAAATCTACTATAGCCCCAAATCACTAAAGCCAAACAGCTGAGAGTGAAAGCAACTCGTGAGCCAAAAGAGCCTTAGTGCATGACTCGTCATGGAAACAATACAAAGAGTCTTGCTCAGTATTGTGAAAGCGAGTTGAGGGGGAATAATTTGGTGCTAATTGAGGCAACATTCTTGGAGCAGGAGCCTTCTTATTCCACAAGAGGGCAGCACGAGAAAACACATCAGCTGTTCAGACCAATTAAAATGATAGTCACAGTCCATATCATTTTATTTTTGTCCAAATGTAAGCTTCAAGTCGTAAATAGGTTTTCTAAGGTGATCTTTGGCTGAAATTACAGGAAAGTTAGTAAAAGATACATTACCCTGTAAGGCAAATGGTGAAAAAACAAGGAACTCACTAAAAACACAACCCCTTTCACGTCCACCCACCAAAATATATATATAAAAAAAGATTCAAGAACCAACAGACTCTCATATTTAAACAAAATGACACTGTAAGTTTGCAACCGCCGACTCTAAAAAGTTTGGGCGACAGAAAAACAACAAAGAAAAAAAAAAATCCCATTTCGGTTAGGCCAAGTGGGGAACATCACATAATCACTTCTGTTGGTCACAGATTTATAGACAAACGACTGATTAAAAAAAAAAAAATTACATAAGTTTGAGAGAAGACTAATTTAACTCCACCATCTCTAAATTCAGCTGTGACCATAACTTGCAGAAAAGCACATAGGTGTGTTCTCCAAAGAGCTGGTGGATTTGCACCAAAAAAAGGTGTGTACCTCTGTTTAAAGGACAGTAAACGAGTGTGTAGTTGCATAGATCAGCCAGGCATGAGGATCCTCCCATCTGTAGTTGCACAGCAGTAAAATGACATGCCAAAAACAATCATGTTTTCAGTTCATAGCCAACAAAATACAGTTGTAGCAATCAAAAAGTGACATGTGAGGCTCTGATACTGAAGTATGACACATTCTTTTGCAGCTGCTTGCAGGCACAGGATGTTCAAACATGGTGCTGAATGCTTCTATATTTGATCATGCAACAGATATATCTTCAGAGTGTTTGACTTGGATTATTTTTGATAGGAAACACCAAGTAATGCATAACTGTGAAGAGATTGAAAACCAATACATGATTTTGATTATTTTAACAAATAAATGAAATTGGAATAAATAGAAAGTAATTAATTGGTCAGTTTAGTTAGTCTGTATGTATCTTTAAGTATAAATGGAGCTGTTTTATAAAGGCCGCAGAGGTTTTAGAGCAATGCTGAACAAATAGCATCATGAAGACATTCCAAGCTTCTACATCTCATAAAACTCTACAATTCAACATCCAGACATTTAAAGAGTACTGCAAATAATGTTTTTCTGTTGTGGATTTTTAAAAAGCAAAAACTTTTTAATTTTGACAGTGACATGACACATTTGCCTATTGTAAAATATTTATGGCAAATGTTTAAATAGCATAGGGTTTGTGTTCTAATGACAAACAAAATGAATGACAAAAAATGCATTTCTTGTACAATCAGTGCAATTTCGTTTTGTACTTTCAATACATTGTCTGAAAATACCTGAAAACCTGCTAAGATCAATATTTTATTGTTTTATAAATAAAACAACACTGTTCACTTTTTTGTTATTCATTGAAAAGTATTATCTGCCACTTTAGAAGGACAAAAAAGTGTTGAACCTGGTTCTGCTTGCATAGAAACAGGCTGCAGATGAAGGACCGACTGCTTAGGCAGGAAGAAAATAGATGAGCAGCAGAGATCCTCAGGTGAGATAACTTTTTGGGATCTAAGGAGAAGCTCTTTGAGGCAATATTCCTATACATTCAAAGACTACTGTGCAACACACTGTTGGTAGCATTAAAAAGTGGAGAGTGGATGATAAGATGCCAAACAGCTAACTGGGAGGAAAAAAAAATAAAAGGCAGCAATAAAACAAAACAAAAAAAACCCAGAGATATTTAAAAGGGCTACAGTGAAACAATTGTGTCTGAAATTATTGGACTAAAGCATGAACTATACATGTGTTAGGGTGGCTGAGATCTAAATATGGGTTTCACATATTTACTACTAATCTGATCCTGTTAGAGATTTTTTAAAGGGAAAATATTTTCTCTGTTTGTGCAAAGATGGTAGAGACACACCCATGATTTCCAAAATGAAAATAAACGTGCCTTACGTCTAGATTTGTAATCTTCCACTTGACAGTCACGGTCTACTTGGTGCTTTTCTATCACATCAGACTCTATGAAATATGTGGAAGTTTCTGTTTGTTGTGTTCCAAAAAGAAAAAAACTTGGTGTATTCATTTTGCAAGGCACTGTAGAGAACAAATATTTGAAAAAAAAATAAAGATTTCTCTATTTTCTTATTTTAATAAATTTTACAAAAATCTATTACTATGAGCAATGACAGACACTGAGATGATGAAATCCGTTGAGGCGCTGCCACCACCCTGTAAAAGTAGTTAAAATAGCTAATGTGCAAAAGACTCAAAGGTCATAATTATCATTTACAGCCCAAAGCTGACAGTTAAACTGTGAATGATTAAAGTGAATTAAATTCCGACCGCAGTGTGAATGCACTCTAAGTATTGCATAAGTGTTATTTATTACACTACTGTGTCTGTTAAAACCAGTTTAATAGCTACTACGGGATCAAAGCCCGTTTAGGTGTGAGGTCTTGCTGACCTTTTTATGCTGAGACAGACTTAGTGTCGGTTTAAAAATAGAGGATGAAAGTGAGCAGCAGCTGCAGCATCTATGAACACGTGAAGAGTTCGTGGGTGATAACTTCATACGAAAGCATAAAGTGGGAGTTATGTGTGAAAAGTGGCAGAGATTCTGAAGGGAAACTCCAGCTGCACAACAGGTTGAATTTCTAAACATTAGACTTTAAATATAATTTCAAAAAATATAAGCCGGTGGAGGTAAGAATGAATGTGCGTGATCTGGTTAAAAAGGAGCAGAAAATGTTTGGTAACAGAGTGAAAAAACTTGAAACAATTTTCCGTTAAATGGGGATTCAGAAAAAAAAGGTTTGCCTACAAAGTCTGCAGAGAATTACTGTTCAACACATAAATATGCACAGATCCTCCTGTGCTTAAATTAAATGTTAGCATTTGTCTACAATGATCTCCTAGAATTTATCCTCCTATGTGCTTTTATTTGGCTTCATGCACAATAAATCAGTGGGACATACAGTAGGAGCAGGATACAGTGGAGGGGATGCTGAGTATTTTGGCTCATTGGCAGTTTGAAGTCATGCAGCATAACCATACCTTGGCCCAAAGTGCGTGTCAGTGAGAACGGGATTTTACATACGTATAAATGCTACTTAACACACCAGATGCAGCACACCTCCTCCTGGATATGAGCTTCTATTGATGGAAGAAAAACAATCCTTAGAGTCATGATGTAGGCTTGGTTCCTCACTCTGCAGTGTTTAGTTTAGTTGGTGCATCGGGAAGTAGGATTTATTGTTCCTTTGTGTGCTGGATTACCTTCAGATGGGATGTTTGTGACTCTGATAAAAAAACTCTTGCAGAACACAAGACTTTTGGCTTTTTATAAGTTCTGTATAATCAAATATTCAGACTATTGTATGTTCTTGTGTAACTGTGATGCTGGTATCAGGTGTTTGCTGAACGTAATGGTCCAGGTCCCGGCTTCAGGTGAGAGTTCAGGGTCCAGCCAACACAGGTCTGTGCTTCTGGAGTCTTACACAGCGCCATTCTGCAGGTTGTCAGGGGTGAAGCAGCCATTAATCTTACAGCTGCTTTCTGCTCTCTGGTTCTGAGAAAGCTTTTTCTTGGCCTTCCAGCGCTGAGCAAGTGGCTCCATGAACAAGGAGAGGGAGGAAAGTAGGTAGCAGAGGCCCGCCAGGTAGAAAGAACAGTCATACGTTTGTGTGTAGTCATATAGAAAACCTATAAAAACAAAAAAAAACATGGTCTCAAAATTGGTGGATTTTTTTCTTAATCTTAACTTGAATCTGACAGAGAATCTGCAGAGGGAGCTAAAGACTAGGGTGATGACAGCATGGCCTTTCAAACACTGAGTCTTCATTTCAAAGTTTTAGAGGAGGATTCTAGAATGATCACTAGTTGCTTTAAAAAAAATAATTGCTCAAAGGTTGTAAAGCAACAAAGCAACTGAAATTATTTGATTTTGGCCTACTTTTTATCACAATGTTTTTCAAAAACAAATGATTCAAACTATTTTACTTGGTTAAATAAGGTGAAATGAAATAAAAATGATGCAAAAGAACATTTTGCTTTAGGATTAATGTGCCTCAATGAGTAAACAGAGAAAAAAAAATCAGATTTAATCCTCTTCATTGCTTCAGAAATTCATGACAGAACAGTTACATTGAAACCACCACATTTGACCTTTTGCTGTTTTTAGTTACCCCTTTAAATTTTTTACACATTTTCAGAAACCCCTTTGTTCAGAATTTAGATTCAGTAAGAGCATGAAATCAAAAACGTCATCCAAAAGCCATTTATTGAAGCCATCTGGCTTATGAACATTTGCTAGTGATGACAACTTTTAAAATGAGCTTCTGGTCATTAAGTCATCTTCTGCACATAACTGATAGAGTTCCTCTGCCCAAAACCTAGTTCATGCAAATTCAACACGACTAAAGGTATTTCCAAATTTTTTTAGTTCCCCACAAAGATAAAACATCTTTGAGCTGTCAGATGTGTGCTTTGGGTCAATGTCCTGATGGCAGACGCAGACCTTCACCCCACACCTAGTTTTCTGACATTGGGAAACATTTTGCTCTAAAAGGTTTTAGTAATCTTCTGACATATTCAGTCCTTACTTGTTGGATAGTCTACAACAGGCATCCCTAATTTTACTGTGGCTGTTAATCATTTCATCTTAAACAGACTGATGTTGTCTATCTCTTATGATTAGTTAACCTCTATTTAATGAGGTCCACCTCCAAAATGCAACACTTCCTTAGATATGAAGTGCTTTGGCTAATACTGCATCCAACTTGAACTCATCAGCCCCAATATCTAACTTTCAAGTCAGAAAAATGCAACTGGATGGATATACTAATTAGGCACAGAAACAAACAAATCCTGCTAATTTTCAATAATGAGTTACAGTACAGTTATGCTCCCTATAACCGTCTGCTTTGCATGTAGCCGTTTTAACCAAACAGAGATGGAGCAACGTATCCCTGTGATAATTCCCTTCCTCTTTAGCATGCATCGAGAGGCATTTTATTAAATATAACTGCAGCCTTAAGAATATTATGTAGCAAATCCCATAGCAGAGTTAAGACTAGATTTTGAAGGAGTGGACAGTGGATAGAGTCTATGCTTCATAAACCTCTAAACAGATATTTCCATCACCTGGATTGTTAACATGGCTGATCATCTCTGTCCTACGCCAAATTAATCCAGTAATTGATGCAAAAGGAGGCCTGACCAAATAGGGGCATGTTTTTGTGTTACAAATTCATCATCATTGTTCTTGTGTTATATTATTATTGCCTGAGAAACAAAAAGCAGGGTTTCCATAAGTTATATATTATATGAAAAAACTAAACAAAGAAAAAAGGCTGTCAGCAAATCCCTTTCAAAAAATTATGAATTTTACCCTTTAAATCAAATCACATTTAGATGATTTAGAAATGAATTAACGAAAACTGATAGCCTTATATGCTTCTCAAAGTTTTATATTCTTTCATCTATGTAATGTCAGTTTGTTTACTTCTTAGAGCAGTTTATGAATCACACTCGGACAGACTTTTCATTAATGTGTTTGTATGAACCTGTGCAGAACACCCACTGGTCCAAAAGCTTGTTTTTTTCAAATAACAGTCGTACAATGGTGTGTGCATTATCTGGTATTTTTAAAAGATTCTAAAGAAAGATAAAACTTGACTGAGATCATGAATTTAATCAGATAAAAACCAGTCGGACAACATTTCAGATGATACCCCCCTGTAGCTAAAATGCCAGCTGATGTTTCTCACTCTAATGAAACAGAAGGTAAAAATATCCCAACCATATTTACGTACCACCCTAAAGGGGCCATTCATCATGTTGCAACTGATGCAATCTACAACCCTCTTTTGGGGATTGCATAACAGCTTTGACAAGCCAGTGCGTGAAAGGGCCCTCTCAGTTTAACTTGTACCAAGTGTTACCAATTAGGGCATTTCCTAGAAGTACCAAAACGTACAGAAAAAAACAAGATAAACTGAGAGTATGAATGTCTCTCAAAAAGACATATGCTGCATAAGTTTTCCATTTCCAGGAGGTACCAGAATATTAGATGTCAGACAGATGACCTGCAGCACTGTTATCTTTTTCAGCTGACTTGGAGAAGACGTGGTTTGAATGGACTCTGACCTGATGTAACTAAAATACTGTAACAAAAACCTGATCCCAATTTAGAAACAGCTCTTTAAGACTACAAAAGGAAAGCTGCCATCAGTTAAATAAAGTAACTAAAGTGCCCTAGAAGAACTGTTATGTTAGTCTGAGGATTTGACCCAGTAACCTTCCATGTGTTTTTCCACTGAGCAAACTGAAAGGTTCTATCATGTATAGAGAGACGTCTTTAAATGTACATTTTTCCCTCCTGTGTGCTTCAAGGTTTTTTCCTTTTCACAGTGTATGCACGCAGACAGACAGCAATATGCACACAGAGACAGGAATTCAGGGCGGAATAAATAGGAGACAGGGTAGGCTATCAACTTGTCAAGCACCATATTGATGCCTTCATGCCTCCATGCCATGTACCAACATGTACTTCCTGCCTTCAGCGCACTCAGAATCGTAGACAAACATCACTTTGGCCCTTTGTGCAGCGAATCACATTAGAAACGCAAAGTGATGGCTGTCATCCAGTCCACATGCAGAACTCATGAATGTGTCTGTGTACATTTGCCAAAAGAGGGTCAGCACAAGCATAACTCTTAAAGGATTTCCAAGAACTGATCTCCTCACCTGCTAGTGGAGGCCCAGTGAGGCAACCCAAGCCAACAAAGAACATGGAGAAACCCATGGAGTTATTGAGTTTCTCTGACCCAACAAGATCGACCTGTAATGCAGAAGAGCACACACATCAGTTGACATAATGCGATTTCAAATAAAACTGCTTCTTACTTAAAACTTTCTAGCATTAAAACATTTCTCAGACAGAATTTAAAATGACAGATAGTTAAACGGTCCACTGCACAGTTCCTGAGATTTGAGAAACATTATTTTTTAAATTCTAATACAAAGAAGAAAAAACTATTCTAAGAAGTAATAGGTAATCTATCAGCCATTAACACTAAGCCTCCACTGTGACGAGATCTCAACCCGAAATAGCAGCTTTGGGATATGGAAAGGGAGATTTCCATCTTGGATAAGGGCTGCAGAAACTGTAATTCTATCACATAAATGCATAACCGATCAAACATATTCAACATATAAATAAGGCAATTCTGAATTCCAAATGAGATAGAACCTTGTGTTATGTTTCTTTTATTACTAATAATAAAAGAAATAATGACCTTTTTTTCTAGGTCATAGGTGACTAAACTGTAATTAGGGAGATCAGTACTTGTCTTATTTTACTGATGTTCAACGGGTAGGATCATTTTATAAGAAATCAAGTTCTTGGTTAACAATGAATGGCCAACAGCTTGGGTTTCCATGGTAACAAACTAATTCTGTCCAATGGGTGAGGATAGTTTCCTCTTTAAAGTGCAGCACAGAATCAGGATATTCATTTTTCAGAAGAGAACATTTCTATCATCAGATTTTTTTTAACAACAATTATGTTTGGATGATTATGGTTATGTTTAGTGGAATTCGGCAGAAATGACCTCAGAATCCCTCTAGGTTATGTGTAAATGCAGGGTGTTGTTATAGTTAGTTAGTCCACCTAGTTATTCAGGGGATGAAAATGAACAGGAGAAAGCAGTAGTGTAGTTATTTCCCTGCTGCCCTGCCTTTCTCTCTAAGCACATTGTTCTCTATGTATCCTCACTCAGTCAGCTGGCTGCCTTTTCAGCAGATTGATGTGCAGCTTCTTTACCACAACAATCTGTGGAATCATACTCTAAGGTTATTATTAATCCCCAATTATACCACATGAAGCCAAAAATATAGATACTGTACCATGGATATCCAGCTTCCATTTATTACCTCTTGTCTGATAATCTCTTACGTCTTGTTTTGTTGGGAAAAGATCCCAGATACAGTACACATAATCTTTTAATGCCATGTAATAAAATGACAACATATTGGACAAGATAAACCTTATAAACATTTTCTGGTATATTCAATTTTCTTCTTTTAATTAACTGAAAAACACATTTTGATAGAACGATACTCGTCAACATTAATTATGCTAAATTGAATGAGAAGCATAAAGACTTATGAATTAATACGGTCAGTTAATTCAGTTTTTACCTTCTTAACCATGACATAATACCATTTCACAATCTAGATCATTATCTGTTCTTCCCATCACATGTATAAACATTAAAACTATAAATTCATCAGAACTAAAGACCGAAGTCTTTGCCTTATTCAGAAATTCACGCATCCACGTCTGAAACAAATATAGTTATTTAGGCTGTCATATGTTACTGCTCAGACCCTTAAAGGTGCAGCAATGGCAAATAACTAAAACAATAATCAGATCACCCTTCTTTTCAGATATGAGGATTACATTTATCAAAAGTTACTGAATAGCCATGACTCAATAAGCTGGAAGATTTCTAATGGGTTTTCTAGCAGTTATTTATTGATGCAGAAAACTTCTAACAGACTCAACACGCTTGTAGTGAATTCACAGGATGGGCAAGGCTGCTGTTGCAAAGTTAACGGTAAGGGAAACTCGTTAGTTTAATAAGAATGATAGGCAAAACATTAAATATTCGTGTTATATTACAATTATAATAATAAAATCTACTTTATGAAGAATATGCATCAATATGTTACAGCGCATGAATGTCATTGAAAACACTTTTAACAGCAAAAGAAGAGCATTTCTGTCACTGCTGCAGTCTGTAGGCTTTCATTAGACTTGTATTAATTTGAAACAGACAAACCTGAAAGCTGCCTTTACTGTCACCGCTGTACAAAATAAAACGGGTTAAAGACTCCTCTCCCAAACCTCAAAATCAGGATGAGTTTTTAGAGAGTGGGTCCAAGTCTAAAGTCTTTGCTTTAATGGTGTAAGTCTGAATCAAGTCCAACTTTATCACCTGAACTTCCACCTTTTGATTAAATGTTTTAGGAACAGATAGGCAAGCTGAGCCTTACGGTAGACATTTTTTTCCATCAAAATCATTGTTTTTTTTCTTACCAGAACAGGTAGCAGCAGAGCCATGTAGCCCCCACAGAAGATAGCAAAGAAGACAGCATACACCATCAGTAGTATATAGGAGGTGGCCAATGGGGAGAGCATATTGACCAGGCCACAGAGGATCAGGTAGGCTTTGTGGAAGTGATATTTATGAAACAGGTTCTTGTCTGTCACCCAACCCGACGCCAACTGGGCAATGGTCTCTGTGATACCTGTAACAGAGGCAAAGGCAAATAACTCAGATGAATAAAAAAGGTGAATTTTAGAAGGCAAAAAAAGAGATACACCTAGTTAGGCATCAATCATTTAACTATTTCTCTCCTTTATTGGGTTAATTTTCCTTCATCAGCAGATCACTGGAAAAAGATTAAAACTGATTTTATGTGTTAAAAATATAAAGGTTAAGAACTATCATCCTTTGTCTGGTAAATTTTTTAAACTCAATTGGATAAAAGTAAAAAAAAAACAACATTTGCTGAAATCCAGACATCTTGAGAAGCTGGTAGTTTGTCTTTTCTGTAGTCAGCATCTTTTTTTTCCTGCTCTTTCAGAGCAAAAAAAGTTATTGCAGGGCATAAAACCAATAAACCAGGATATCGGTATTGACTAGAAAAAAAACTTCTCATGCATCTCTAGTGAGGCCCAAAAACCTTTGTGAAAAGTTGTTGAATGCTAGATAGAAACCTGCATTGGCTGAAGCCTGACTGTGTTTCTGTATTGTAAGTCATAGACGTGTTCAAAGAAGCTTGATAGAAGTCTAATTTTTTTTTTTTTGCAGAGAAAAAAAAAAGAAAGAAACCCCTCTTGGGATGAGAGTGACAGAAAATGGATAGATGGATGGAAACAAAAAGAATTTTAATAATATCAAAGGGTCATCTCTTATCTAAGTGGGAGTGAGAGGAAAAAGAATGTGGAAAAACGACTCAGACTTCGTGATAAATAACGTGAAGTTATTCACACCATCTGATTGGACTGATTGTTGGCTCTGCTTGAGTATGATGACAGAGCAGAATATGGACTTTTCTCTGCTGAGGTCAACTGGAATGTGATCGGCAATGCGGCATCTGCAGTGGTTTATTGACTGTTGCAGGAATAGCTAAAAGCAGGCAGCACTGAGCCACTGATCAATGAAACAAGCTGGTTCTCTGCATATTAGAGTAACTTCTGATACTCTTTTGTGGAAAATCAGTGGTGTCGGTGCACTGAATCGTTGGATGTCTCTGGTTTCTAAGACTTTAAAGGAACACCTCTGCACCCTTTACCTAACAGGATCAAAACCCTCAGCCTCCACCGAGGTTAAAGACGACGACATGAGGCAGCTGTGCAATGTTTATGTGTCCTCCTTTTGCGATCCAAGAAATGTCCTGGAGTGTCCACTGCTTGGACACTGACAAAATGTGCGTTTGTTTGTGTGTTTTAGCCTCAGCAGGTTGGTTTAGCCCTGCAGCTGTTCCTGTTCAAACTCATCACAAAGCTGTTTAAATTTGGCCTCTCCAAGTAGCAGCACCTCCAGTCAAGTGCATTAGGGACATTGGCTCTGTCCTTTACCCTCCACTGTATCAGCGAGTTAAGAAATTGTTAGTGTTAGTTCTATGCTGGATTAACTGCCTGACCCTAACAAACAATTGTTCATCATTGGTTTTTACAAGGGTTGAGAGGCAAGAAGAAATGGCAATCAAGTTTCTTTAAACAGAGACGTTTTTTAACAAGACTAAAGCGAAGGGTTATAGAAGGCATGTTGGTTTTCCCAGCTTCTCTGAAACCACTGCTGGCTTTAGTTGCCTCTCTTTCTGCAGGCACAGCCTCATTAATACGCCTCTGCAAAGTATCACCCACTTTAGAACTGGACTCAGACAAAACTGGGACCTCCTCTTGTAACCACGCCAACAACTTTACTCTGTTAGTCGTTGCTTAGCGACTCTAGTCGGCTCTAGTTTCGAAAGGGGTGACGAGCACACTGACCCAGATGACAGCGGCCTCTTTTTCCCTGGCCAAGTCCATGACAGAGCCGGGTTCAAAAAGAAGAACAACGGGTTCTGAGGGTTTGAAGCTTTGTGGTGTGCATTGCACCCGGTCTCTTTTACCCCTTTATTACAAAGCAAGAGAAAATGCAATAGAAGAAAAAAAAAAAATCCATCCGTCCCGCTGCGTGCAGGAAAACCTGGGAGCAATGAATTCCAGAAGCTTAAAAACCCACTTATACCCCCAGAACTTTTTCCATTTCAGCCAAAAACATACAACTATGCAAAGTAGCAGAAAATTGTGTAAAGTGGTGGAAATAAGAATTTGAGCCACCCATTTCGATCACCATCTTAATGGTACATAGAGTTAACCTGTTTATAATTTAACCTCAATATTGTTAAAAAAACATTTGAGCACAGACAGCATCATTAAGACCAGGAGACGGAGCAGAAAGATCATGGGGAGAGGTGTTTAAAGAAGGTTTAGGTTATTAAACAATATCCAATGCTTGAAGCAGCCAAGAAGCTAATGGTAACTCTGGAGGGGCCTCAGTGTTTGCCAGCTCGGGTAGGAGAGATTTAGAGAGAAATCTATAATTATGCATTCCAATTTTTGGTATTTATGGAGTAGTGGGAAGATTAAGCTTCTTTTTGAATAAAAACAATGCAGTTTAAAGTTTTACACATGCCATGAAGTGGACTCAACAAACATGTAAAATCCAGTGTGTGGGTCAGATGAGATTAAAACATGAACTCTGTGGACCCCAAGTGAAATATTACTGCAGCAGAATGGTAACGGCACATATCACATGGTGGCCACAGCATGACACCGGACGGCTTTTCTGTCACAGGAAAAGGAAAACGGTCAAAGTTGAAGGCTTTAACTAAGGACAGGACTAAAATGAAAATAAGCTTAATCCAGAGATGCAATAAGCTGGTTAGATCAAATAATATTGATGCGTTGAAATAGACCAAAGTCCTGACCTAAGTCCCACTGACTGGATTTATAATACATGTTCACATATGCTCTTCATCTTATTACTTTTCCAGCAGAAAAAAGCAACCAAACGTATTAGAAATACAAAACTAATATGGAAAGCAATGACAAAATACTTACTGCTATAGCTGCAGGAAAAAGGTACAAAAATAGCCCAGAACTAAATTAATAAGGAATTCACACTTTCAGACTTTTGAGGACAAGCTTGTTTAAAAGCTCCTCGTTGGTTATTTTTACTATTGCTTGTGCAATTTTCAAAAAAGGAGGTGTATGACCTGAATCTTTCTCTTAATCCGTTAGTGTTGTGCATTGTTTTAAGATTTCTATTTCCATCAACTTTCTGTTTTTCTGCTGGCTTGTGCTATTTGACAAATGCTGATAAAGAAATGCTGCCTTTTGCCTTCTACTTCTTTTGTTTATTTTATGTTTTTACAATTCTCCATACAACATGAACATGTTAGTTTATATCTGGTTAAACCCTAAATCTATTGTGCTAAGTCTGAAGCACTTTGGGGCCAAAGGTTGAAGTGACTAAAACAAATCAACATCACCTAAAAAGAGCTGTCTATAAGACCCATCCATCCACACCAAGGCAAAAACTTTAATATGTAAAATGGAAATGAAAATGTGTCTAAATCCTCTTATAATTTAGATAAAGCAATAACCCTAAGTGCTTAAATACACAACAGCTATCACTTATTCACACTGCCCGACGAGGCAGTAATAGAATTACATGTCATGTGTTTGGTGGTCAAATCTTAATGCTGTTTTCTAGTCATATTGAGGGGCCTCATCAATTGTATACTGCTAAAGCCACCCGTCCTGGCCAGTGGACCAAAGTTCAGCTTTTATGTAAGCGCATTCATTACATAAGACTGCAGAGTCTGAGCAGCTCACAAATAATTAATGCCTAAAAGTTGACTGAGCACTTCTTTTGCATCACTTAGAAGATCTAGACTGGAAAAACGACATGGTCCTACCTCCTCACAGTCAACGCAACAATCATATGATTAGTCAAATACAAAGATATGCAGGTTACATAAGATCTGTCAACTCCATGTGTCTCTTTGTTTTATAAAAGTAAAAATGATATAAAAGCCACAAATTTTGTCTATCATCATTCTTTTAAATGTGATTTTAATACTACACATACTATACATACATTAAATCATAAGGGCAACAGGAACATTTTACACATTCAAACCCCTTTAAACTGTTGGTCAAGCTTACAGATCGGTCCACTAATGAAAAACGCTGTAATAGCATTCCAAACAGAGATAACAACTAAAATAAAAGCAAATTTTTATATGTTTTAAACCTATCAGTGATTGGTGATCGGTTAAGCTAATTTCTATGTGATGGTGGCTTTCCTCACATGAACTTCTTGTTTCAGGTCCTTACATAATAAATCTGTTGGTTTAAATTCAGGACTCTACATGTGCTAATTCCAAGGAGCTAATCCTAGTTTTCTTTTGGAGATGGATGCTTGAGGTGCTTGCTGGCATTGCTGGACCACCCACACTATCTTTAGTTTAACAAAGACACAAGACTTATGATATATTCTAGGGCTGAAGAAATTAATCGGATTAATCGTGATTGATTGTTGAAATAATAACCAGCTAATTCAGTCATCGCTTAATCGTTAAATGGAGTATAGAGACTCTAAAACATGCCTTTAGCTGTAATTATACCAAAATAGTAAAATAAATCTGTTAACATTTTGCATTTAGGTTTTTGTCTATCATTAGGATCAATCCAGAATTCCTTAAGTGGAAAAGTTTTAGTTTCACAAGTTTTAGTTTTTAATTTAGTAAAAAATGTTCTTTAAGGGACCTTTAGCTATCCGATTATTGATCGATTATCAAGTAAAATAATGGACAGATTAAGTGATTTGCAAAATAATCGTTGCAGTCCTAATATTTTCGTTGATTCAAGTTCACTACTGGTAACATAGACTCTCTGCGTTACTGAGGGCCTTTTGCAGCATGTTTCACATCTTAACTTAACCCGGACAATATAACAGTTTTTCATCCACCAAACATGACCAAATACTTTTCCAACAGTTCTCTACCTTGTAAACATCATGATTAACAATCTGAGCAAGGTTTTCACAAAGAGCAGTTGTTTTCTATTTGCAGTCTTGCGAAATCATTGTTCCTCAGTGATTTTTCTGGTGTTAGACTTGACAACGCTAGCGAAAGTCAATGCAAAAGTGCTCTTTATCTGGAGTCGTTCTGTTACAAACCTTATCATTTTTATTATTGTACCAAAGGAACACATAATGTGAAAAAAAAAGTTTATGAAGGTAAAATAGATGCTGGTAGTGCTGTTTTCTTTTTGGCACTAGTCCTAGGATAAACTATCCTTAATATATGCTAAAAGTTGCAGTTTTTCCACTTTCTTTAAAAATAAAAGCAAATATTTTCTCTCTCTAAATATTGAATATCTTTTTAAAAGAGAATGATTATTAAGAAGAATTAATTTACTAGTGTTAGCCTCACCTGCTACAGATATAATGAAGGAAGCATCCATGGCATCAATTCCCAGATTTCTGGCCCTGGCAGAGAGATGGAAGTACGGGATGAAGTAGGCCAGTTGACTGAACACCAAGGACCAAGTGTAGATGCAGAAGAATGGGTCCTTCAGCAAGGTGAAATCCAACACTTTGCCTTTTGTGGCTGCAACCTCTGTAGGCACACTGGGCTGTAAGGGAACTCCAATGGTCGTAGGCCGAGTCATGCTGCCATTCATCTCAGCTGGGCTGTCTGGGGTTGCAGGCTTACACTGACCAGAGTCCTGTTGGGGGTCGTGACCATTTGTGTTACTGAGGACTAGTCTAGTCAATTCAGGGTTCATTGACTGGCTCCCTTGTCCATCAACACATTGTCCTCTCAATTTTTCATCGTCACTGTTTGATAAGAGAGAGTCTGATTTGGAGACACCATTGGATAACGCAGGAGATCTACTCATGCAGCTTTTTGGATATTCCTTCTCCGTGGAGCTCTTTAGGGAAATGGCTGGGCTCTTTTGGATGGGCAAAGAAGTGGAGTTTGAAACAGGGGGCTTCACATTGATGGGTCTCAGAAGCATCCCAGAGGCTACTAAGTTCAGCATGAGGCCTCCGAGAATCAGCATTGCACCTAAGAGTGGCAAACAAAACCCACAGCATAAAATTCAGTGAGATGCAAGAGCTCATAAAAAAGTTATACTGCTTACCTTGCCAAGCATACTGGTCCAGAAGCAGCTGGGTGAATGGAGCCAAGGCGAAGGTCAAACCCATTCCAGATCGGCCAATGGCATATGCAGTCGCCAGCCGTTTTCTGAAGTACAGCGCTGTTATCACTGAAAATGATTGATATAGTAGTGCAAATCCCATTCCTGGTGGTAGAATATAGGTTAGTCAGAAAAATATCTCATTTTGAAAGAAATGACTAAATCAAAAATTTTTTCTTTAACAGAAGGGACAAAAAAAATAAATGCACCCTTTTTCAAAACCATTTAAACTCACCGACTACAACTCCCATGCTGATGTAGAGGTATACCACACTGCTGGCAAAGATGCTTATGATGAAGCCTCCACTAACTAGCACTGCCCCAGAGATTGAGGTCACCCTCGGTCCCAGCTTAGCACAGGCCACAGAGGCGATGGGTGCTGCAGCAAAAGATGTTTAGATAAAGTGGGTTTTTTGGGCATGGTTCAACCCTTTTAGCTATAAAATGGCAAATCATTGCAATTGCAGCTTATTCAGTGCGATGTAGTAAAAAAAAAAAAACACTGTGTTTTGTTATCCAAACCTCCAGACAGACGTAAACTAGACATGATGGAACCTATCCAGCTGATGCTCTCTGCTGAGCCTCCAAACTCATCTTGGAAGGCCACAAAGAAGATCCCAAAACTTTTTAGCGTTCCCATCACAAGGACATTTACCTGCAAATACAGACAAAGAAAGTTTAATAAATCATGTTTAAATTAATGTAGTCCATCCTCAATAAATTTCATGCTACAAAAGCCATCAAATAAACATCTCACTTTAGCATATATTTATAAATCAAATGTTTTAATACAGAGGAAGCTCCATGTGCCATTAAGTAAAAAAAGTGGGGGAAGAAAAATGTCAAAAGAAGGCATTTAAGTTGATACACCTCCCCATATTACATTTTTGCAAACTAGCGGGAGAGGTTTGGCAATAATCAGCATACACAATTCTAATACTTATGTTGGTTTCTTGCAACCGTCTCTTGAGGGAAACATTGAGCTGTCTTAGGTTTTTGTACTCCTTTTAGATACATGAGCCCAATTTACACTACTTTCTGAAAACCGATCCATTCCGAGCTTGGATCAGTCAACAGTACCGAGGTCGGTTCCTTACGCCATTTACACACCACGCTAGCACGGTTCCTCGCCTCCTAGTGGTGGTCTACGGTACCACTGCTCTCTAGTGGGAATCAAGCAAATCAACATGGTGGCGCCCGTATCATTCAGGAAGTTTTCGGAGAGTCAGGCGAAGAAGGCAGCCTTTGGTGAATTTACTTGACAGAGTTTGCTTTTGGGAAGTGGATACAACAAACAATAGTCTAATCAGGGCTTACAGACGCAGGAAACAACGACTGATGTTGAGGTTCATTACACTGCTAAGCAGAATCATCACTGAGTGCCATTAACACTCAACAGTCGTCTCGGTAACCGTGCTCGGACCGATCTCAGCACGGTTTCAAAAGGGTAGTGTAAGTGGGGCTATAGATATGTTTAAAAATAATAATTTAAAAGAAAGGAAATGGGTCATAATAAGGCTGGGCTAACATACCAGGAAGCAGTGGAGAACCACCATCCAGCCCCAGCCTCCATCTGGAGGGTCCTCATACTGTATTTCTTTCCCCTTCTTCTTTGTGTTCATTGCATCTCTCCCAAACAGATTCATGATGGCCTTGATTTCACTGGAAGGAAGAAAAAAAATTAAGTACTTCAACTGCATAATTACTCATGTTTATCTTCATGCAGAATGTAAACCTTTTTTTAATGGGTATTTTTAAGAAAACACATCTGTATTTTTTCAGCATCTATCAAAAAAATTATTTATGAGGCTATAGCTGTCCCAATCCGATTTTTATATTGGAAATCAGTCCGACACTTTGCTTCTGCCTGCTTTTTTAAAAGCTTATGTAACTCCTTATTAAATGAGAAATTAATTAGTTGTTCTTCTCATACCAGATGTTCTCTGTATCTGTTATCACAAATGAAAAAGTTGTATCTGGACACCCCTATATCAGCCAGTATCAGCCAGATTTGAAGCCATGTTTGGATCATTCAAATAACTTAACAGCTGCCCAATAATTTCACAGAGAAGATATTTTACAATGCTTCCAGTAAACTCCATGGTGGAAATATGTCATTCTGTTAAGTCAGAAAAATACTAGCGATACATAAAGGACTCCAGGATTATATGTCAGCATTTCTTCTTTCAGGAATTTCTATTCACTGTGATCGCCATATTATAAAATGGGAGCTCTACAGAGGTTGTTTTGCAGCACCCTGTTACTTTGCTGTGGAGCCCTTGCAATCTCTTTAGTATCACACTAAACTCTCTAAATTTATATAGTGACTCAACTTGAAATCCTGAAATTGCACTGATAAAGCATATTCTTCGCCTTGTGACACTTTGTCAACACTTGCCTCACCAAAAATATCATAAAATGAGGCAAAAACTTTAATCTGAGAAAACTTATCCTGATTCAAACTAATTAAAATTTTAGGTACCTCATATTTGTTTAACATAAAATATATATGCAGATACATTTGAAGCTGGTTTCAGACTCTAATGAAATATATAGGAATTAAACCCTTTATCCAAACAGTGGCAAACACATAAAGATACTAAAAGTGGTTACAGTTTTTGGTCCATAGTCACATTTTAAGAAGCATCTTATAAATTTAACAAAGAAGTTGCTAAAAAAAAAAAAAAGCAAAACTTGCTATTAATGTGTAAAACATCACAGTCATAGTGCAACCAATGCTAGTTACATTTCCTCCTCTTCTGTCCATAATACAGCTGCTCCACTGGACTGAATGTCTGAGCAGTGTTCATATTATATAAGTTTGTGTCTCAGCAGGAGCAAATATTTAATTATGCATACGCTGTGGATTACTGGCAGTGTGAACAGCATGTTCTCTGCAAATTGGGCTGATGATATTTTAACTTCCCTGTAATTTAATTTTTCCAAGAAATTCAGTGTTTTAAGATATATTACTCAAGAAAAACAATGTAATGATTGATTTAAATACACTGGAATATGAAGCAACTCTCACAGTTATTGGCAACCCTACAACATAAATCTTGTTACCAGCTGCCTGAAGATCAGGCAGCTGGTAACAAGATTTTGTGCCTCTTAACTAAAGTTAAGAGGCACTAAATTGCAGGTGCAATCATTTTATTTATTTATTTTGCAAGTGCAAAAAGTGGAAGTGTTGCGTTTGATCAACAAATACTGCTGAGCAAATATTACAATGTGCCAACTGGTTTTGTTGTGCACATTAAAATGAGCAGATTGCACGAACTACAGGTAGTTTAAAGGTAGCACTAAATGAAAGATGAGGTTCAAGCTATGCGGATGGAGGTAATAATGATAACTAAAAAATAATAATAATGATAATACTAAATGTATAGTGCCCTTCAATTATAGAAAAGTGCTATGACCCAAAATTGAAAAACATAATGATGGAAATAATTACAGTTAAGTTAAATATATAAATATAGAATATCATCAGACATGAGAAAGTTGTCTCTGTCTGCTGATTGACCCAACAGAGGAGAAACAGTCAGGTTTGGAGCCGATTAAGCAGCTCTAAACAGCTGAATTTACCGCCACCTGCTCCTTTAAACAGCAGCTTGACTGATATACAGCAAAGCAACACCCATTATAATTTGATAAAACATTACAGTGCATTTTGCGGAAATCGACATTGGGAGGGAAAAACATATAGATATATACCTACCTCCACAATACACCACTAAGGACATTCTAATAAGCAGTTTTTTATTCCCCAGAGCACAAAAGAGATTGAAGGATCTGTTTTAGTAATGTAAATTTTCTCAGGGCTTTTAAGCTTCACTGTAGTCAGACCCTCTACAATCCATGGTTAACCTTGGAATGTTTTGATTTTTCTGGGAATGTTCTTTCCCAGAATCTTCCTCCCAAGAATTTGACAGATCCTTAACAAGCCTTGTTAAAATAGTTCTTTCAAGGTTTTACATAAGAATGAATCAATGTTACCTACCCAGCAAGTACCCCACCTCTCCCCAGTAGAAGACAGGCACAAGCCTATAAGCCATCCATCCATCCATCCATCCATCCATACATCCATCCATCCATCCATCCATCCATCCATCCATCCATCCATCCATCCATCCATCCATCCATCCATCCATCCATCCATCCATCCATCCATCCATCCATCCATCCATCCATGAAAGCATCAATGTTTTTTTTTTAAACCTAATTATTTAATTTTTATTCTCTTTCAACAGATATCAAAATGAAAGTAGATCAAACAGCTGTAAATGAGGTGGAGATCGAGCAACACAATTAAAATCAGTCAAATTCTAACAAACCGAAGAACAAAAACATCAAAATTTAAATCTGCTTCACAAGAGAAGCAAAGATGTAGCACTTTTATATACCAAAACACTGAGGTGAAGAAGTACAACCGAATTACATAATTTGTATTTAAATCTGTTAGTTTCCTGTTTGAATCCATTTGAAGACTTTATTAATCTTGTTAGAGCCCTTCAGGGTCTGGCCCCTGATTATCTGAAGGAACCTGTGCCAACAGGAGCACTCATGTCCACCATCCACATTCTCTTTCTAATACCATAAAAAAAGACAAAATAGGTGACTTGGCCTACGCAAGCACTCCCTGATATGATTTACACCCAATAAGAAGAAGTGATATTCATCAGTGAGCTTAAAAAACATTATGAAAATCCAACTTTACTTTTTCGATTTGAACTTTGGTCCATTTACTGTGGGCTTAAATGTGATTGATAAATACACAACAGTAGCAAATAAGGGTCCAGGGCATAAAGGGACATTTTACTTCATACCCAGGATCATGGGCGGTTCTAGACAGGGGCCAAGGGGGGCCAGGGCCCCTGCAGATCAAGTCCTGGCCCCTGTACTGAAGACATAATACTTAAAGAAATTCTAATGATGATCTGCGCTGAAACAGACATGGTTACTGATAGATCCTTTGGATCTATTTTTTTTTTCTTTACAAATTCTGTTTTATTAACTGTTTAAAAACATATCATAAGTGGTATTAAGATAGGATCCCAGTTTTCATCTGCTAAATGTTTTTTTCCAAAACAAATGTAAAAAAAAATACAGCTAATTTTAACAGTTTTTCTTAAAATCTAAATTCAGATTTTATAGAAAACAGTAATTTCAACTTAAATTAAGTTAAAAAAAAAAAGTAAAATTCCTAAATTCTGAATGTATATTGACCTACTAAGACATTTAGAATTTTTATGAAACCTAATTGATTAGAAATTTGACTTCATGCAGCAATCTTAATTTATTTGAATCCCTTGGCCTGCTTTATTATTTCATGCTTTTTTGTGCCCCCATGAAAACACGCTGGCCCCCTCCTGGCCCACCTGGTACATTTGGTCTAGAACCGCCACTGCCCAGGATGTTTTATTAGGGAAATGGTTTCATTTTTAGTCAAATATGAAAGATGCTCTGAAATGTTGAATATTACTCACCAAGTATTGCTGTTTCAACATTAGGTAGCATTACAAACAGCTTAATTTGTTTAGACACTGGTGGTATTTTTGTGTTTAATTACATTAGATAGACTTGTATGTATTCAGGGAAAATACACAATAAAAACATTTTTAAAAAGAAAAAATATGCATAGCACCGTGTTATAAATTTTGTAACCTACAGTTTTTAAAAGTTGTAGGGAAGTGGCTATTTCAACCGTTGCATTTCCAAATTCTCCCTAGCGGTGCACGACTTTAGATGAGTGAATAAAGTAAATGTGATTAGTTGTCTATCAAGATGGCGGGATGCTGTGGCGGAAGATTTGATTGAGGCCGATATGTCGGAATAATCTTGCTAACCAGTTAGCCACTTGGTGCTAATAGGTTCCCAATGGGAAATCATATTGGGACCAAGTAGCACTAAATTGGTGACTTAGAAACGACTGCCAAGGGACGCTATGGACAGCGGAAACATGAGCGAGGAGGAGAGTTTTGTGTCAGAGGTCGTGGATGATTCTCCTCCGTCATACATTTTTTATTTAGAGGAGGAAAGCGGGGACAAGGCTGTTGTGGAAGAGGACGCCAGGGCGGCAGAAGCTTGGTTTGGTGTAGAAGGCTTACAGCCGTACATGTTCGAGCCCATTCCTCACAATGCTGCCAGTTCTGTTAGCTCTACGCCTGCCAAAGACACAGACGTCCATCCCCGTGAACACTAGGACGTAACTCAATGGTAAATTATTCTTATTTCTTATTTCAACCGTTGCGTATATTAGCTGTGATATATGAATCAAGATGCTATGACCGAAAAAAACTGATTGACAGATGACCGTTGATATATGATTGACCAAATTTAGGTGTACAAGCTGACGTATAACTAACTGGTCTGCATAAGATAACAAAAAACACAGATTTTAAGACAGGATTTTTTTTAAATAGAAATTTTTGGGACAATATCATCTGATAGAGCGTGCATTAATATACATGTTTAAGACAGAATAATTTGACATTTAAATATGATTTTCCTTTTATGCATGGAACTATGCAAAAAAGGCAAGCTGTGAACTAGTTAGTGAGAAAGACTCAAAGTATTTAAAGGATATGAAATTGATACAGATTTTGCTGTAGTCAATGAACGAGGTTACTGAATAATCTGGCGGTGTGCATCAGATGGTGAGAACTATGTTTGAGCTGGTAACTATTCCAATTTTAAATAAAGCTTATTATTATTATGATTATTATACTTAGCATTCTAAAGCCAGTGATAAATTCATCCTAACATGCTTTGAATGTTCAGTTCACTTTCATACCTTGATGATTATGGGCTTTTTTCTTTTCCTCTTCCTTTAAAGGTCTTACTGTGGAGCTGGGCTGTAAAATCTGCCAGCATCACAGTCCAAAGACGATCCAACATGTGTGTGCTGATGTGAAAGTGCTGCTTTAGCAATAAACATTTAACTCATCAATTAACCTAAATTCCTAATGTGAAAAAAGACACAAAAAACCAAGTTCATCCTGGTCAAAGAGGCACACACAGTCCCTGAGAGGCAAATAAACAAGAAGCTGCAATGCCTCGCTGTAAAAATAGACTAGCCAGTATCATTCTGCTGTACCTACTGAATAAGGCAACGTGACATTAAATCAAATATTAACCAAAAGCTCCAGGAAAACTGAGCAGTGGATGGATTTGAGAATATTTTAAGAAACTGGTGGAATTATGCAATTAAAGAATGAATACAAAGAAGCTAACTGTATCTATAATTTAATTATCTTAATTATCCAATGCAAGAATTTTGGACCACTGGATGATTTTATAAGGGCAGTATTACTCTTCTGGAAAAATGTGCTGCCCTGGGTTCAACCCTGAGGGGATGTATGATACATTATGCTTACAGGGAACAACATGCATACATGTACCAAGCGGAGGAACCATAAATTCTACATGTGTGACAGCAAAATTGTGAAATACTTTTGGCTTCTCTTCCTTATTTGAACCATATGAGGTCCATTATAAATGAAGGAAGCAGTGACTTAAAGAGAGATTTGTCTTTGCTGCACAAAGGTGTTGAAGTTATTTCATCGCAAACACTTAAAGCCAAGCTTAAGAAGCATCCTGTTAATCCCTGCTTGGTTTGTAAAGCAGCAGAAAATGATGGGGAAACAGTGTGACCTTGCATTGAGTCTCCAGAACAAACTTACAAGTGACAATGAAGTTCTGGGAGCTAATATAACTATTAGGATGCTAGATTTCTTGCAAAACCCAACATCTATATGGTATGCACAGAGGCAGGAGTTTGTCTTTGCAGCAAATTGCAGAGAAGTTATGCTTAAAGGCCATTAATCAGAGTAAGGTGTTAGGCACATTCAACCGAGTGAAAATAGCATTAATCAATCTCTTTTCTTTTCATTATCACAAATATAGTAATACTGGCAACACATAGTAAAGCTTTGGACAAACTGAAGTGCATGGGATTTAACCATGTTTGAGAAGCCTGGGCCAAACTGGACAGAAATTAAAGCTGAATGAAATGTGTCAGTAAAGTTTGACAATAATAATCCCTAACACTAGAAATATAACGTTAACATTCAAGCATGTAGTTTTTTTTTTTTTTTTTTCAAAAAGTTGCAGAGCGGCAACTTTGTTAGCATTGATATCTTGCAGCAATTCAAATCCTGCTAGAGGTGTTTTTGTCATTTCCTGTTGTCCCTATTCACATACTGTTAGTTTTACTCCATTACCATGTTATCCTTAGGCATAGGTGTGTGTATATGAACATGGTTAGATAAATTGATGTGTTTAAGAGATATCAACAAGAAGGGTTACACTTGGTATCAAGCTAGATTCACTTTAGCTACACAAAACTATCCAACTGAAGAGTGTCTGGTGACTAAGGAATCCGTGTCTACAGATATAAAATAATATCAAACCCTGAGCTTTTAAAATGCTGGACCAAAACTCTTTCTCCGTCTAACCCAACCATCAACAAAACATTTTTATCCAGTTTGTTCTCACATGTGATTGTCTGTTTCACTAATCGTTTTGATTGAGATGGGTTCAAAGGCATAGATATAAATCATTTTGGACTCTGATACACAACTGATCAAGTGTGGAAAAACATATTTCTAAAGGGGGAACTTTCTTCTCCTATAAGTGCAGCAGGTAGCTGTGCTCTAATGGTCTTTGTCGGTGACCCCTGACTGCAAAAAATTGACATGTCACCTGCAAGCTGAAGAAATTGATTTAGTTTATCATCATCCACAGACTGCAGACATCTCACTAATCAAGAGACGATACAGGCGGTATGGCCAAAGGTTTTGGCTCTGGTCCAACAGGAATCATGGAGCCACAAAGCTGAAAGTCAACGTTTCAACATCAACTTAAAAGTCCCGAGGGCTAAACTGATTACACAGTGTGACAAAATAAAGCTGTGCACTAGTGCAGTAAGTAGAAGAGATTCTGTGTCACTAATGAGGTTTAAAAAAAAACTCTCAACATTATTATCAAGTTTATATTCATAAGTTTTTTTCTACTGAAGTGAAGAAAATACAACAGTATAGTAAATGGGAAGCATCAGGTTGCAAAAAATACAGACAGCTGGAACTCAAAATATAAAACCAGGTCAAAAGAGGTACTTTTTGTACAGCTAATAATGATCTGAGAACTAACAGGGTAAATTAGTTCTTCTATAAGTTCATGTAGGGAAGCACTTCAACATCCCACAGTTAAAGTTGCTCAGTAGAGAGGGGGCTAAAGTTCCTCCAAACTGATGTGCAGCAAAAATCAATAGTTTATGCTTAGTTATAGTTACTGCTGCACAAGTGGCAAAAAAGTGCTTTTGACAAAGTGATTTTATTCGCCTGGGTTTTCTTTCCTTGTTTTAAGTGGAAGAAATCTCATGGTGACTTATGGTACTGTAACTCCTTTAAAATGCATTTTCTGCCTTTTGTGACCTTAGATGCCTAACATCACACAAATTTTAGTGTTAGGAAAAAGTTAACCTTGGTAATGCATTAAGCGTTTTCCAAGAAATGATTTTGGTTTCTATTGGAAAAAGATACAAACCGTCTTTGCCCTATGAAAGAAAATAGTTATTTAATGATCCAAATCAGAAACCTATTATGCACTGGTTTAAAGAGATTCAAGGACAAATGAGAATAAAATCGAACGGCATTCATTAACTGGTAAGGGCAACTAGGCAATTTCTAAGGTTTGGGACTCCAGGTGAAAACTAGTGAGAGCCAATATCCATAGATTTAACAATCAACCTTCCCAGGAGTGGCTGGTCTACAAAGCTTAGAGCATTAAGGAGTCATCCAAAACAACCAGGAACAGTACCCCAAGCAATGCAGCCCAAACCAGTTTTTACCTTTTTACATAAAACCAGAGTGGTTAGATAGCTTTTTTCTTTAACAAACTAAGATTTGTTTGATGACATGAAAATGTTAGTCTAGGTGAAATACTGTTTTCCCTGCACTGTGGATCAGAAGAATACAAAAAAACCCCCCTCCAACTTCCACTAAAACTTTTAGAAACCCCCGTCTTTGGTAAACATGTTGTTAAACAAAACATGTTATTTTGGTTGGATACAACTATCACCGATCAAATTAAAACACATTTGCTATACAAATCAACACATACCCTTATTTGGAGTATAAATATGAGAAGAAGCATCGCTGTTTAAAGCCAGCCACCAAAAACAATGGCGACAAAGTCAAATCACCTGGAGTTAATTTGAGAGATAACGCCTACGATAAAAATTTTTATCCTTTGAGATTCAGGCAATAGGTGGACAGATAGAGGGCAATAAGATTTTAAATTAGCTCACTGCTATATATACGTATGTAGTGGGTTGAGAAATGGAGTAGTCGATATTTAAAAGGAGTTCACTATAAATAACAAAAACTGAGTCTTATATATAGTCCGCCAGTGAAGAGTTTTACATACACTGATCTCCACAATGAAAATCCTAACTTTGAAAGTGTGATCTCTTCATTTAAACAACTTTTTTTGCAGGATGTTTTATGCAAAACAGCAGATAAACCTGGACTTTTTTAATGCGATTAACAAATTTTTTCATAATAACTTCCACTGGGAGAGTTATGTTTTTATTTAAGTCTGTCTGTCTGTCTGTCTGTCTGTCTGTCTACAGGATACCCTGAAAGTTATGAACAGATTTTAATCAAATTTCTACCAAGGGTGCACCTCAGTCCAAGGGACAATACATTTAATGGTAATGTTGGTGATGATCCACATCATAATCAGGATGCAGGAATTCTTTAACATTATTTGGCGGAACAAGCATTCCCCCCACCCCAACCAGAAAGTGGCAGCAGCCTCGTTCAAAGTCCCGATTTGCTGATCAAAGAGGAAAGCAAGTGCAGGGTGAATGAAGGAGATGAGAGCAGAACAAAGACCAGAGGCTGCAGACACACACTGTACACTATAAACCAGTATCAAGGTCCAGTGACATGATTAACATCCTTACAAATGACCATTCTTCTCCTATTATCATTAACTAGAAATACCTGATTCCAACTGATATTACTATCTAAAGCCGTTCTTTGCATTTAATACAATCAAATCCCCACAGAGAAGCTTAAAATAGATTATTGATCACATCAAAACTAATCAAGAATGCGGGAAAAAAGTATTTGCTGTTTACACCACAAAACACAGCGTCTTGCTTTTAAGTGAGCTTCATTATGAATCACACAAACCTTTATTTAAATACATTTTAGTTGTGTCTTTTGTTTAGAAATACCTGTAATGCTGTCTTTGTATAATCCCTGAAGGCACTGCAGGTGAAGAAAGGATTCAGAAGTCCTATAGTGTCATTCTAAGGGTTAGTGAAGAGCACTTGGAACTATGGCTGCAACCAGATCAGCTTCACACCTACAAGAAAATTAAAGCAAATAAGGACAATTATCATCTCCAGAATGACCGATGTCAATATTTTTTTTTATCTGTTTGGGAATACTTTTAAATCTGAGAATGAAGTGAAACTTTTTTTTAACACCTTTTAGTCTATATATATATATATATATATATATATATATATATATATATATATATATATATATATATATATATATATATATATATATATATATATATATATATATATATATATATATGTATATATATAGAGAGAGAGAGAGAGAGAGAAATGATAATGGTTTTTATTATAACACCGTACCAAATAAACAACTAGTAAAACAAACTTTTGCGGGGTTGTGTGGTTTTAGTTGTGATAATGTTTCTGAGAGATAATTATAAAAAGTTTAATCAGTCCTGGAGAGAAAAAGCCACCAATGATGATTTCAAATAGTTTGTCTAACATAAAATTTTAGATTGAATGAATCCCAAGGGAAAACTGCTCCTTATTTTCTTTTCTTGCCCAGACAAGTATTTTCAATGTTCCACAGGTGTATTAAAGGCAAGGGCAAAAAAATAAAACAAATCAAACACCGTTGCATCTTAAAAAAAGGGGGTGTGACACAGGCAAAGCGAAGTTGTACTGTAAACACGTCAGAGCCCTCCTTTGGCCCTAACAATCCAACTCACCAGGTTCAGCGGGTTTTCATGTTTTCCAACAACTATTTTGTCTTGCTAATTCACAATGTATATAACCTCAGTGTGCAGAATATTTACATGCAAAGAAAACAAAGACTGAGAAGAAGAAAAAACATCGATCACACAGTTAACTCTCTGACAATAACTTTCTTACAAAAGGCTCAGAATTGCAACGACTTCAAGCGATTCACTACAAAACCAACAGCATAACCTGATCATAAAAAAGCTGCATTCCTTCAATAGGTGTCTCTGAACACTAATTAAAGCTGAAGCAGGAAAAAAAAAAATGTCTTGACAGAAAAACCAGTTCAAAAAAGTGGGTCAAGCAGGATCCTTCCAAAACAGCTGCACACATTAACGCTGCAAGAAAGATCTGGTATAAAGCACTATGTCACAGTGGAGAAAACATTATTAGTGTGATCAGTTATAAAAAGAATATTAATTTTGTAAAGACTCCATGGAAAAAAGCTTTCATCATCCCCAGCTGTGGCATTACGTCTCAAACAAATCTCAACATCTCTATCTGAAGCAGGTTACTTACAAAGTGAGTCATGAGCTGATATGAAGCAGTCTGATTGAACTCCTCAGGTAGACTACTTTTTATCCAAAAAAAGGCCCATCCAGTCCAGAAACAACACTCATTTACTCATAGTGAGAGTATCAGGATGTGGGCATGTTCCAACCCGAGCAGCAACCTACTTTTGAGCAGATTATGCATTCATGGTTTAACTGTTGCTTGTTTTTACTTCTTTTAACTTAATGATTTATTCTTCCTAAAGAAATAATTACAACAAGTTTCTTGATCTAACTATTTTCTCTGTTTTTTTTTTTTGTTTTTTTTTGCTGCTCTATTAATCAGAATCGAGGATCCAACTTTGGTAACTAGTTTGGAATTGAAAATCTGGAGAGAAAAAACACTATGGATTAGATTTTGGAGAAAAGATGGTGTTAACTGTAAGCTGCAGGCTTAGTTTCTTAGGAGCAAACACAGAACTGCATTATTATTGGCTGGAGGGAGAGAGAGAGAGAGAGAGAGAACAGGGTGGTCTTACCGTGCGTATCTGCGGGTCGGTTATCTTTCCTTGGCAGGCCTCTTACATTGCGCCCCTCACTCACTTCTACAATCAAATAGAAAAAAAAATTAAGTGCACAAAGAACCACTTTCATTATACAATAAAAATCTCACTCTGCAATAAGAGCTCAAATTTTGCACTGATTGCAAAGTCCGTGAAAAGTTTTCAACACATTGAAAACTTTTGGAGAATCAAAGATGAGCGTTTGGAGCCGCATGTGTCACCGTAAAAAAAACACATCATCTCCCCATGAGAAGCAGCAGCACATACCTGTAGTTTCCCTCCCCTGTCGTCGCCCGACTCACTTCACTTCCAACGAATTTTTCCCCCCTCACTAAGATTGATCTGCCTGGCTGCGTGACGGGGATTTCTCGCGTGTCTGAAAGGCGATGCGCGCTCCCGGTGCGGGACTGTGGCACAAACTAATGCGGGACGCTGTGCTGTGCTCCGAGGAGGATGCCCCTGCCATAACTTTCTCTTCCTTTACGCGCAGGAGCAGCAACTCCTCATCTCTGAGCGCAGTCTCAGCATCGCTGGCTTTGCAGAGGAGCAGCCACGTGATGGGGTGGTCGTAGTGAGCCCCCCTGTTTAAGGGCTGAAAGGGTGGAGGCAACTCTGCATGTCAAAACCTCCAAGTCACCCCATATTTCACTCTGGTGCGGCGCCTTAAAATGCGCCCTGCCCGTCTGGCGTCTTTCAACACGCCTTGGAAACGATCTCACATTTTATCACTTAGAACAAAAACTGAAAAAATGTATGACATTTTACAAATGTACTAATGTATTTGTAGCTACACCCCTATAATTGGACACTCCTAAATAAAATCCAGTAGAACTGCTTGCATTTAATTCCTATGCTCCACTTATCTGGAACAAACTTCCAGAAAACTGTAAAAGTGCGGAAAGCCTGAGTTCCTTTAAATCAAGACTAAAAACACATTTGTTTAGGATTGCCTTCAACTGTTCTAGTTAAAAAGTTCAACTGAAACATCATTAGTTCATTTTTTCTTCTTTTTAATTTTCTTTATTCCAATTGCTTTTAAAGTTCTTTCTTGTTTCTGCATCTTTTTTATTATTTATTTTTTCTTCTACTTGCTCTGATTGTGTTTTATTTTCCTATATTTTAATAATGTAAAGCACTTTGCATTGTCTTTGTACTGAATTGTGCTATACAAATAAATTTGCCTTGCCTTGCCCTGTAGAAATGTCCAATTTGAAGGAGAGAAAAAAGCCAACACAGTATTTTTATCTCATAATGCACCCAGCAGTTTGGTAAAAGCCTCAACCATGCCATACATCATACAGGTCAGGGATAAAGTTTAGGACTGAAGATATCAGTCATTTTATTAACTAATTAATGTCATAACTAGTTTTTTTCACTTAGCATTTAGTCTAAAAACAGATACTCTCAGTAGATCAAATATATCAAACATTATTGTGCATCATAAATGTGCTGTAAATGGTAAAAATAAATAAATTAAATGCTCAGAAATGTAAGGTCTGTACGGAGCATATGCACAGACAAAAAAAAGGCTTCTGATCTAAACTGTAAGAAATATCCTTTTTTTTTGTACAGTATTGGTTTAAACACAACATTCCTAGAGTGGAATATGTTGGTTCCAGCCCTATAACTGTGGGAAAGCTTTGCTCCTACTGGGTGAGGCTTGAAGAATTGAGACTTAGGTGGTGGTTTACCTTCAAGGCATCAAAATATATTCAAGTTAGGAAATTACCAGTGGAAAAAAAAGAAGAAAAGACTGATTGAGCTGTTTGACAAACGAAAATGTGCAGAACATTCAATGTGTCAATGTGCAAAACTGGTAGAGTGCTATTTGAAAAGGATTGATCCAAAACAAGTCCTTTTTTTAATCAGAATTGCAAATGCTCACTTTTTTTTTGCCAGTTTCATTTGTAAATCATATTCCATTTTTCATTCTATCATGTTGTGTTTCCCTTTCTTTTTAAACCCCCCAAAAAACACTCTTGCATGTTGTTCTGATGTCATAAAATGTGAATACCTTGTGCAAAAAAAAACAACAAAAAACACTGCAGGTTGCAAAATATCTGTATGGACAGTTCATTCATTCTTTTGATTCTGCTGTTTGCTCATTTTGCAGTGAGCAATTTAAACAATGTTTTAAGGGCAACAAGTTCATGATTACCATCTTTCAAACTGGTTTTGCATCTAAGGGGTGAGCACTTTTGCTGCCAAGGAAAAATTAATCGGTTAGCCATATAACTATCAAAAGAGAAAATAATGAACACTTAGCACGCAGGATGGCAGCTCAGGGTAAAGTTAAAGTTTATTTAGGGTTGTTATACAATGCTTCAGATTAAAGAAAAATCTTGTCAAACAAAAGACAAAAGCAGACGGGCCACAGAAGGCTGCATATGACAAACAAGCTGCTCTGCAATATGCAACTGGTACAAAAGCACTGACAACCTGCAAAGATGTCTAGGACTAAATATACACATAAAAAAACATTGCAGAAGTAAAAGTTTCCTGTTTCTCGGATTTGTTTGGATTGCCTATATTTAGTCTCTGTTCATGTGTTTGTTTTATTACAATATAAATGCTGAAGAGTCATGAAGTCTTCAGGAGGCGATCTTGTGGACTGCTATGGTTATGCTCCCGTGGCTTCTCACCAAGATGTTCCTAGAAAACCATGAAACAGAGAAATGATGCATTAAAACAACCAGTGACAGAAACACATGCTGATTAGGACTGCTCATCACTGGGAGGAAAGTACAATTTGCAATAATATTAGTGAATGTCATAACTAGAATCATTCAAAAGTGTTAATGTCTGCCTGCTCTTTGGTCAGATGGACCCAGATAACAAGTAATCAGCCCAGGGAAACAATTTGACTTATTACTGGAATGAAGAAATATCTATGCATCTTTTGAATCTACTTTAGCATATCTAGTTACTTTAACACCACTGGTTCATGTTATCAGAATAGGACATGAAACAGTTCTTTTAAACTTTTTAACTAAACATGCTTAGGTAGATGCAAAAGAAGCATGAATTTCTTTGTTTTCAGTGCAAAATTTGTTATGTTGGCATAAAACCACCACAGACACATACATGATATATATATATATATATATATATATATATATATATATATATATATATATATATATATATATATATATATATATATATATATATGACTTAAAGTCTTAATCCCATTTCAACCTTCATGTTGGGTTAGACGAGTTTCACCTCGTGGATTACGAGCATAAAGGGCCTAAATTTACTACTGTTGTCACCTTATACCAGTGTTCCCTTGTCTGTATATACTTAATGTATATATTTTTTTTATATATTTTTAAATATTTTTTATACTTTGTATTCTTCTTTTTTCCTACTGTACTGCGATGCAATGCTGCAATTTCCCCACTGTGGGACAAATAAAGGATTATCTTATCTTATCTTATCTTATCTTAAATGCATGGGGCTTAGATTATTAGCCAACACTTATTCCAGTCCAGATGCATCACCATATGCATATTGTATACAGGGATGAGGTGAAAATAATGAATTTGCAGTATACTGAGCAGCACTAATGCTGATTTGGTGAACAGGTAGATATACTTTACTCAGCTCACTCACTTCCCCATATTCAACATGATACATAAATATATTATTTAATAAGTAGACGTAGCCTGTATTTATTTATCTAAAACATGATTCAAATGTTAAATAGGCCACACAATGTTAAATGCAAAATTAAATAAGTAAATGCCCCATTAAATAAAAGAACAAGATTTAAAATAATAAATCAAATTACCTAAATGTAATTTAAAAAACACAGTGAATATAATTTTTTTACTTTATATGAGCATTGTTTCCAGGGTCACAGCGCAAAACGTTTGGTAATCCCTGCATTAGAATCAGAATCAGAATCAAGTTTATTGCCAAGTAGGTTTGCACTTACAAGGAATTTGACTTGGTGTTGTTAGTGCAGACAAAAAACAAAATAAGATAGAATATATATAAATATATATATATATATATATATATATATATATATATATATATATATATATATATATATATATATATATATATAGACACAGAAGCTATATACAATCTGTAGACTGTGCGTTAATGTATGGCAGAAATCCTGAATGGGGGAGAGAAACATTGTCCAGTGTCACGGGCGGCTCTTGGCCTTGTTGATAAGGCCGGTAGCAGATGGGAAAAAACTGTTTTTGTGACGGGAGGTTCTGGTCCTGATGGACCGCAGCCTCCTGCCAGAGGGAAGTGACTGAAATTATCTGTGACTGGGGTACGAGGGATCAGCCACAATCTTCCCTGCACACCTCAGAGTCCTGGAGGCGTGCAGCTCCTGGAGAGATGGGAGGTTGCAGCCAATCACCTTCTCTGCAGACCGGAAGACACGCTGCAGTCTGCTCTTGTTCTTAGCGGTGGCACCAGCGTACCAGATGGTGATGAAGGAAGTGAGGATGGACTCAATGATGGGGGAGTAGAACTGCACCATCATTGTCCTGGGCAGGTCCAGACACTTCACTCGTATTTCCAACTGATGATAGTCAGAGGATCTGGTCTATCTGTGTACAGCATCCTAGCTTCTGCCAGAGTGCCCGCGAGCATCTGTAGCTTCAATGCAGCTCAGTGTGTGAAATATTGTCTGAATGAGTGACTGATTGTAGAGCACTTAGAGACAAAGGACTTGTTAAACGCTATACAACTACTGGCCATAATTTGGAAAAATTGTTTCTTTATGTAGAAATGCTAATGCAACAAAAACTAGCTGCACAACAAATATCACCAAACAAAATAGTTTGACTTTTAACTCTAACTATACAAATCATTTTTTTTCTTTCTTAACAACTAAACTGACAAAAAATTTCCTCGATAATTTAGATTTCATGTTAAAGCTAAATATTTTGGCATAAAACTCACCCAAAAACCTAAAAATGTATAAACTCTCACGATATTAGAAGCGAAACCTCACCAATGAAAGTCTTATTGTTTTTTGTTTGTTTTTGTTGACATTTTGCATTTTAGACCTATGATATACATTTACACTATGTTAAATTAAAGAACATATTAACATAATGAAAGCGACTCTAATGTTTTACGACTGAAATTATTTTGGAAAGTTACAATTTTTAATCTGGCAGCATAAACTGATGTTTTACATTAACCAGAAGGTGGCAGCAGAGCCCCTAAAATTGGCATGGGATATATATACAGTATATATAGTGTGTCCACATATGACAGCTTTTTTAAATGTAGGACTATACAGGGTTATTGCACTGTGTGTTAAATATAGGGAGATCCTTCCAAGCATTAATCAAAACTACCACAGACTTACGCAAGACAGATTATAAATAAAAGATAAAGAGGAAATACAAGTCCAGCAGAAAGTGTGTCAGTGCTCACCCTGAGTCAGACTCCAGGCAGACAGTAGGGGAGTCTGTTGGGTCTTTGGGGAGAGCTGCAGCTTGTTTGGCCAAAACAGACACGACGCCACCGTGTTCGTCAGTCAATGAGCCACGACCTGCAAACCAAAACAAAACACAGAGAATAAAGGAATGCAGGAAGCTTCTGAGCATATCTCACTGTTTAGTCTAATACCATTTTCTGTGTAATAAACAAGCTTTAAAGTGAGTGCAATCTCCATCAGGAGGGGGGGTCATAACTCCGTGAAGAAGGGCAGCAGGGAAGTGGCAGTCTAGTGGTTAGGGCATTGTGCTTGGATCCCAGAGGTTCTGAGTTTAAGCCAAACTCCCACAGACTGCCACACCAGCTCCCTGAGCAAGACCCTTAACCCAAAACTGCTCCCCAGGCGCCGCACAATGACAGCCCATTCCTCCCAAGGGGATGGGTTAAATGCAGAGAGTTCCTTTCGTTGCTCTGTACATGTGACAGTCTAATGACATTAAACTTGAATTCTATTCATTTATATTCTCTTCTACAAAGGAAACAAAATGAGAGAAAAGGTAGATGCAGAGTCTTCATGTTATCATCCCTTACAGAGCTGTGAGGAAACATGCACTCTTTTCTGCTTGTCTAAAATTCTCTTTACCAATTATGTTGCAAAATCAGGAGCTTTTAAATTAGTTACTGGCTAAAAGGGAGATGATCACTTTTAGTAGGAGGATGAATCACATGAATCCGTATCACACGACTTTATGCTACCAATATGGGAAAAGCTGATTGTGTCTTCCGTCATGTGACTGATGAACAGCTCGTTATGGTGTCACTGTTGGAGGGATTACACCTGAATTTACTTTTTAACTTCTCCATCTGTGCTCTAATCAACTTCTTATCATCCTGATTGACTCATTTGTGATGTTATAAGATCACATGTCACATCTTACTGCCTTCAGTGTTCACTTTACAAAAGGTTTACCTGATTTAATCAGAGATTGCTGGGGCCAAAACCATGATAAGGAATCAGTTCAAAGAGCCACTTTAAAAAAAAACCCAATAACAGAAATCAAGTTCTCAGTCGAGCCAACATATAAACATACCACACTGTTAATAATGGCAAAGGTACACCTTTTTCTTCCCTGCAGTCTAAGTTTGGTGTAATTTTTCACTACTCATGTCTCTAAAAGCTACGGCCCATTAAACAGAAGATCTCAAATGGTAAGAGTCAACCACATCTGCAGGGTGAGAGACGAGCCAGGTGAATCAGATGGAGATTTTCAGCTGTAACTGCTTGCAAAGAAACTGTCTTGTAAAAATGCTTGTATTACTTCTGTCTTTATTGATCAGAACTGCTGTAGAGTTACACTGTATAAGTGGGTCGTCACAACTTCAATCTCTAAACATACTGAAACCTTTTATAGTCTAATTTGATGTTTAGCATAAAGCAGACAGATGATACATTTTTTAGTTCAACAATTTGACCATCTAAAGTGAGAACCTGCTGCTGTGATACTGACAAGTTTGCTTAAATGTGACATTTAGATGTAAAATACAGGTTCCTAACATTTGTATTATTGTATTATGATATCTTTTGAAAATGTAATATTAAACACCTCAGTACTGTGATCGATCCCTATGTATTGTACAGCCCTAATATAGATTGATTCAAAGACAACCTACTCTTCAGTTTGATGCAGTTAAGTACATTATAATGCTTGGTGTGAGCAGCATGTCTTGCAAGCCAGTGACTCGGTGCAATCAGCTGGTTTGCCTTGATAGAACATTTTAACTAATTTGACTGTATTTTCCCTGTAAAATGTCATGTGATGGCATGTGTTCTGAATTGGTCTTATATAAATATACTGAATTGAACTGAATTGTTAGTGCATTGACGGTAGTAATTTGTCAAACTCACCCCAAATATATATATTTGGACAATTTAAGAGCTACATATTTAAAATATGTGTTCCTCAAATAATTATTGTTATTCCTGCAGCACACCAGAATGTATTTTGAACTTAGAGGCCACTGCCATTTAGGGATACACCTGTGCAGATATGTATTTTTAAAAGGGTTGAATTAGCAAAAAAACATGCAAAGATTAAAACATCTAACAGAGTGCTAATCAGTCAATCATAGGAAAATTAAAAAATAATCGTTTGGATTTTTCCACAAAACATGAAGGGAAAACCAGGCAAATCAGACCAAAACAAAACATCTCATCTCTTAAAGCGAACATTAAAACTCCCCTTAAACACATTATTCTGACAATGGGGCACGGAAGTGACAGCATCATGCAGTTGGAAGGCTTTCATTCAAATGCAAGTCATATAAAATTCCAGATGTGGTTGCCAGGGACTTAAGGTTTGGGAGGAGGTTCATGCTCCACATGAAGGCAGTTCTACAACTTGGAAAGATTCAGATCATAGAGACTTCAGCTGTCAGAATAACCTTAATGTAGATCAGTTACTGCCCATCCAATCTGACTATGTGATGCCAGCAGTACCAAGCAGAACATTACTTCCCATGAGAGCTTCCCTCTAAAGGTCGTCATGGATACCAATGTTAATGTCCACTATTTAATTAATTGTCAATAACTTGATTTACACATGATGGTAACTATAACTACAAATTTAGAAGCGTACAACTTTGATTTCTAGCGTTTAACGTGTTATCCTCAAATATCATTAAATAAAACCTTGAATAATCTCAGTCTCCACTTGTTAGAACTGATGAAGCCTCTTGGATGAGAGCTCTAGAAAACGTCATGTTCAGTTGTCTAAAGTGAACTTTTCATGCTTGACCAAGATGACTGAGAATCTTCAGATATATAAAACCTAGAATCTTACATCCCAGACTGTGTCCCTGTTGATCAGTGCAGAGGACTCCGACCACTGCTGGATTCTTCATGCTAAAAACAAAAACAAACAAACAGATTAAAATAAGCTGTTTATAGCCACAGAATACAAAAAGATAAAGTAACCAGTCGGCTTCAACTCACGTATCATCAAGATGCTGTTCAAGCGTCGACTCCATCGATTATAATTCCTAGTTTAGTGTAAACAAATGTTCTGGCTGAAAACCTTTTTATATTGTTGTCAGTTTCACGAAACGTTTCCGGGTACAGTCAGCTGACAGTCACATGACGTAAGAATCCTTCGAAGGACCAAAAATTACGAAACGCGATTGAGTGAAAAGGAAAAGAAGAAAGAACAAAATAAGAGGCCAATATTACGGAAGAGGATTAGGGCCACTTAAAAAACAAAAAAGTTAACTGATTTTTAAATTTTATTTCAGTATAATATGAGAAAAAAAGTAATAATTCTGACTTTAATCTCAGAAATGTGGATCTTAATGTAGATGGCACCATGAAGAAAGAGATGTGAGAGCATTCAGCTTCACTGACAAAGATGTGAATTGTTTGGGAGGGCCAGTAACACAATGGTGGAATATAACTAAATTAGGCAACTTTTTATGTGTCAGAGGGGCCCCTGGTGATGCTATTTCATTAATGGAGGAGCAGATGGTGATAAAAACAAGAGGGCTAGTCTCTGAAACAGACATGGCTATGGCTCGATGCAAACATCTTTGTTAGCTGTCATAATTCAGTCAGAATTCTGAGAAAAAGTCAGAATTCTGAGATTAAAGTAACAATTCTGAGGAAAAAAAACAGAATTCTGAGATTAAAGTCAGAATTCTGAGATTAAAGTCAGAATTCTGAGAAAAAGTCAGAATTCTGAGTTTAAAGTCAGAATTCTGAGATTAAAGTCAGTATTCGGAGGAAAAAAAGTCCGAATTCTGAGAAAAAAGTCCGAATTCTGAGAAAAAAGACGGAATTCTGAGATTTAAGTCCGAATTCTGAGATTAAAACCTGAATTCTGAGATTAAGGTCAGAATTCTGAGATTAAAGTCCGTATTCTGAGATTAAAGTCACAATTTTGAGAAAAAATTCAGAATTCTGAGATTAAAGTCAGAATTCTGACTTTTTTCCCCATATTAAACTGGAATAATATTTAAAAATAAGTTACATTTTTTTTATTTTTTTCAGCAGCCCTAATCCTCTTCCGTACAATATGACTATTAAATTTTCCTTAAAATATCCGCTATATGTCCCATCTCAACAATATTAAGTTCTTTGTTTTTCATCTTATTTTGTATTTTTATTTTGTTGTTTTCAAACTATTTGAGCCAGTCTATGTGTAGAATAAAGGTGATGTACTTATGTTTGAGTTACTAAAATTGGCACAAGTACAGGACAACTGTGCATGAAAGAGTACGAAAATCTCATAAAACGATGACTCAAAACAATGCCACAGCAATTGCACTCAACCTGAAAGCATTACAGAGAGAATATATTTGCTTTTATCAAAAATAAAACTGCTGCAGATGCACATGTGAGCCAGGGATCATGCTTGAGATTGATCACACCAAACACAACTTAATTTCACTAACCATTAAGAACATTCAGTGTCAAGCAATTCTTCAAACATGTTCCCTAACAAGATTTGATCAAAACAAAAGAAAAAAAAAATCAAGATGTTTGTGTCTGATAGGAAACTATTTTAATAAAAAAATATATATTTGGTCCTTCATCTAAAACTGGAATTGAGCAATTTGGTACACAAAAACACTGGAGTTTAATAAGATATGTCGTTTTTTGTTCAAACAAAAATACAACATAAACAAAATGTTTATTTTCATAAACTGTTTTTGAAATTACTGTTTATCCAATGGTATTTGGAAACCTGAATAATAAGTAAGGTTGTACTTTTTATGAAATGTTTCATTGAACTTTTTGTTGATTTGATTGAAAAAAAGACCAACTTGACAGCAGGCTATATCTTCGTGACGTCGATGATAGAGAGGTAATGACACAGCTGCTTGTCATTTCCTTATTGTTATTCCACATCTTTTCATTCAAACCCTCTGAGAAACTGGCATTCTCATTCAGAGTTGCATAAATACATAATCAAATTACTTTAATTATTTTTCCCTCTTGAATATCGGCTAATAATCCAATTTGGACTTTGCTCTCTTGCACTGCACAAGTATTCACATTTTGATGACTCTCATATAATAAGTAATGACTTCCTAATAATTCCATCCAGTTGTACTGTCTCTAGTTTAATAAAGTTAAATGGAAAAAAAACATTTTTGTTCAGTGACGTGGTCAAAGAAAAGTGAAATCACTGCGTGGCATCCAGAACAAACGTAACAAAGCTTTGCAAACATGTCACAGCATACCCCAACACAAACATCTGAAGTGAATTTATCACTTGTTTTAATACAGTAATTATACAGTTCAGGGACAAAAAAAAAACACATCCTCATCATTTTCACAAATAATGTTGTGTGAGCTTTTAGTGAATTATTTGATTGCTTCTTTACATAAAAAATTGGACATGTTTTCATTTATTTTCAATATTCTCTTACACACAAACAATCGGTCCTTTATCCAGTCCTATATATATATATATATATATATATATATATATATATATATATATATATATATATATATATATATATATATATATATATATATATGGTTTTCAGTTAAATCCTTCATTAAGTGCCACTGAAGGTTCCTAAATTTCTTTTAATGTGACCAGTCAAACTAACCTCTGCTTTGGGTTCAGGATAGGTAGCTTCTTTATGGCAGCATGACAAGGATTTGTTTGACGCTGTTTATTGGTTTGAGCAATAATCTTATGGAAGAAGTACAAGGAACTCAAACAATACCTGAAACATAGAACCGCAGTTAGACACACCCTGTGCCAAAAAAAATATGTGTACATTGCAAGATCACAGGTTGAAAAAACTGTGATTATGTTAAAATTGCTGAACACTAGAGCTACAGTTCACCTAGTCACACTAACAAAGATGCACACCAGACACTGATGTGCAGAGATAATTGAGTTTTTTTTCCCCTTTTTGCTATAGGATGTTCTTCTTAATACAAAAAAAAAAAAAAAAAAAGTCAAGTGTGTTCAGTTCATAGAGCCAGATGTGGGCATACCGGACTGTACACTTTGTTACTGTATATCTTTTAAAAAGAACTAAAAAAGTGAGAGGATGATAGAGAACATCCAAAATCAGGCCTGTTGTATAGAGCTTGATTCTGTTGGTTTTTTTTCTCAAATAGTCCTGCATTTATATTCCTTATGAGAATAAATCACCTATGTAACATTCTGTTTTACCAGATATTGAATCAAACAATGTTAAATGAAGATTTTATATATATAAAAAAAAAGATCTTTCAGAACCTTTCTTTTCAAAATATTTTCACTTTACAATATTCTGATTGCCAGATAGTTTGTAGAGGCCCTTCTACAAAAGATATTACTCTGGACAATGTTAACATTACTTTTTCTTAACCAGACACTTTATACATAGTTTCTAGACATCAGGGATCTTGCCAGCACAGCAATTTTTCAGTGTAGCTGGCTGCTGAAATGTGTCCCTGCTACACTCAAATCTTTGTTGTTACACGTATATTTAGGCTTATATTCTATGAGCTCTTTGACCGACATCTGGGCTCCCTCCCCTGGGTTTTGTCCAGCGCTTTTCTGCACAACCGCTTGTTACGCTTAAGTTTGTCAAAATAACACTGAAATTAGGGAGATAAGCCTTATTTTAACTTTACTTGCTTATATATGTGAGAAAAGTGCTATGAGAACACCTCCGGACTAATCAACGCTGTCTTTGCAGACAGGTGAACTTACAGTTCCACCCCAGCAGCAGCGGCAAACAACTTTTGGAGGTAAGGATGAAGTCTCCATGTTAATCAGAGCAATGTGTCACTGGGTCAATCTAACAGTTTGTGTATTAAGGGGAGATACGTCCACAATTGAGGTAAGAATAACTAAATTTCTCCTCGCTACACTCATGAAAAATCCTGGAGGAAAACCCTCTTGCTGTCTGGTCACTGCTGTCTGTCAGAAATCCTTACGTATGTTTCCCAATCAGCATCAAGCAGTCAGCTTTACGATCTGCCCCTGCTCCACAGACCCTCGAGGTTGAGCCTCACTGGAAGTGACGTATTTTGGCGTGTTATCCAATCAGGGCTCTACTTTCTTGATGCTCACTTCAATAGACTGAGGCTCAAACCTCAACAGGGGTTCTCATAGAGTCTGTCAGGCAGCGTCCTGCTGCTCCAGAGCGGGGGGGAGATCATGTCCAAGAGCGTAATAAACAGCTGATTAATGCGCAAAATACCCATTAAATTTAGGCGCATTTTAGTGCATATCTAAAGCAGTTTAAGTATGATAATGCATATTTTACCATTACTTTTATGAAATTTATAGGAGAGGTTTAGTAAATGATGTTTAGGTTTAGGTTTAGCCAACAATCAATGAGAAATCCCGACTGATGTTTACTTACCTAATCAGGTGGGTAGAGGCCAGTCCACTGAAGTGGTGAGGAACATCTCCCCTTCAACTGTGCTTGCAGGTAAACAACATATTTCAAGTCTTGAACAGTTATTTTTTAAGCCAAAATAAAAGCTGTCACTACAACAACTAAATTGTTTTCTTTTGTTTTTTTCACTTCTTTTTCATCTCTAAGGAAGTTATATCCTGAAGTCTCAGACGCTCAAGCTACTGTGAGATAGAAACTGCTGGAAAATTAGTGTCTCTATTCACAATGGAACATGTTTAACATCAATTAAGCGAGCAAAAATTTACATTCTTAAAATTATCACCCTCTTGCTTTTCTGTATTTTGCAGTCGCACTCAACAATAAGTCATATGTCTTGTTGAGAAAAGGTTTTATCTTCTTAGGAGACAAAGACTAAGTAGCTTGGCTTCATGATAAAAATATATTTGGGGGAGATTAAAGTTAGGCCTACAAACTTAAGACTAGATTAGATTAGATTCAACTTTATTGTCATTACACAGGTACAGGTACAAGGCAATGAAATGCAGTTTAGGTCTAACCAGAAGTGCAGGATAAATAATGGTTCCATAAAAACAGGACATGGGTTTCTACTGAATAGATATAGAGATGAATACCATTATAGACAGAATTTTACTAATAGATTTGTCCTATGAATATAATATATAGATAACTAGTGTTATAAACTAAATTTACAGCTGGATATGTACCGAATATAACATCATTTTACATAGATATACTGTCAATCATTGTGGTGAAAACATCA